ATTATATTGAGAAAATACTTGAGAAGTTCGACAAAGATGAAAACAGCATTGCTAGAACACCAATTGATATAAATCTTTATTTTTTTAAAAATACTAGTCAAAACATATCACAATTGTAATACCCTCGTATCATTAGCAGTCTAATGTATGTCATAAATTGCACTAGACTAGATATTGCATACTCAGTTAGTAAATTGAATAGATATACGAGTAATTTGGGAGTAGACTATTAGAAGACAATTATCAGGATTCTTAGATACTTAAGATATATCCTGAATTATGGATTACACTGTACAAGATATTCAATTGTACTTGAAAGATATAGTGATGCAAACTGGATATCTAATATGAAAGATATAAAATCCACAAGTGGTTATGTTTTTATACTTGGTGGTACAGTTGTATCTTGAAAATCCTCTAAGCAAACGTGTATTGTCAAATCTATAGTGGAATTGAATTTATTGCTTTAGATAAAGTAGGAGAGAAACTGAATGGCCTCGCCAATTTCTAGAGGATATTCAAATATGGCCTAAACATGTGCCAGTAATTTGTATACATTGCGATAGTCAATCTACAATTGGTAGGGCACATAGTAACATATATAATGGTAAGTCTAGACATATATATCGTAGAAATAATACCGTTAGATAATTGTTTTTAAATGAGATTATTTTCTATTGATTATATAAAGTCAAAAGATAATCTAGCGGATCCACTTACTAAAGGTTTGACGAAAGAGCAAGTAAATTGCACATCAAGGAGAATGAGTCTAAAGCCTAAAACATAAAAATCACCTTACTGGCAACCCAACTTAATTGGCTGGAGATCCCAAAATCTTGGTTCAAAGGGACAACCGAATTATACATGATTCAAAAGAAGCACTAAGGAGATAATATCTCCTATCTATTTTTATGATAAACTAGTGATGCCTACAAAGTTTATTAGGATAAGTTATGCTTTTAATGACTCTTATATCTTGAAAATTCCAAATGAGATATTGCATGATATTCCTAATAGGAGTTACCTATTTAGGTGTGAAAGGGCCACTTTTGTGAGAATTTTAAAGGTTGAATTCTCTAAAGCACTCATAAAAATTAGGAATTGTTTACGGCCAAAATACACACAATCATGAGAACCAATTGTATTAGGAAAGAGATTGTGTGAAGTCTATTCGATCTGATTTATCAAACAACTGAATAGCTCAAGACATCACGTTCACTATTTAACCGGTAAGTCTAATGGGCTTTCACTATGAAAGGTTCAAGGTTAAAAATTACCTATCTTGATGCACAATTTTTTCAAAGATGTATTCTTTATTGTGTGTCAGCATTATCATTTGCATACTAACAGTTAATTTTTCATTCATGTGGGAGATTGTTAGACCAAAATAGTTTTTTAAGTGTAAAAACTGATAAGCTGTTTGGTAAGTATTTTTGTCTTGTGTTTTGTTTTTTTGTTTTCAATTTTTGTAAAAAATGAGGACAAAAACATGTTTGGGTATTGTTTTTGTTTTTGTTTTATATTAGTTGTTTTGGAGACGAACAAAAAAATGGAAACAAAATTTTTTGTTTCGGGAAACACATAAAAGAGAAACACACGCTAAAAGGAATTAATGAGATTTGGGTTTCAAACTTTCTTAGCAGTAAAAATAGTCTTTTTTCATGAAACTATTTAAACCCACCTCATTTCTCTCTCTTCTCCGTCACTGCCTCGTGCTCTCTATTTTCTCTCCATCGTTGTCTCACTCCTATTCTCTCACCGTCACCGACGAGGAGCAGCGATCTCCTCTCATCTCTCTCACCGACGGAGAGGTAATCCACTTATCTTTCTCTCTCTTTCTTCCTCTCTCATCTCATCTCCTCTCTTTCCCTCTCTCTCTCTCTCTCTCTTTATATATATATACATACAGATTTGTGTATATATATATATGTATATATACACTAGATCTATGCATATATGCACAGATGGAATGGAGTTTGTTGTTTGCTTGAACGAATCGATCTTCGTTGCTGCCTTCTTCAACGAAACCATCTGTCGATCGAGCTGAAAGGTTGCTGTGAAGGTATGTATATAAAAATCTATATATACATATATATATGTATATATATGCATAGATCTAGCTCAGATTTGTGTTTGTATGTGTGTGTGTGTGCGCTTATGTGTGTCAATTTGTGGGTAATTTGTGGGGGTGTGTGTGTGTGTTGAGTATGTGTCTGAGTGTGTGTTTTCTAGGTGTATGTCTGAGTGTCTGTCTTTGTGTGTTGAAATTAAAATTGGAAGTGGAAATGGAAAAGAAATACAGTCATTGGATTTAATCAATGATATATTAGGGATTAAAGCGGCATGTTCAAATGGAGATTAGAGATGTTGTTCAGACTGGTTCTCTGCTTGTTGGTGGGAAGCTGCTGCTGCATTAGGATTAGTGCATGATGCCTGTTCTAAGGAAAAAGAAGGCCTTGGTTTTTGGTATAGTATAGGGATTGTTAATTGGTTCCATGTACTATGATTTGCATCAGTTGCTTACTATTCTTTGTGCTGAGATTGTGTATAATCATTGGAATTGGAAAAGAAATACAGTTATTGGATTTAATCATTGGTGTATTAGGGATTAAAGTGGTCTGTTTAAATGGAGATTGGAGTGTGCAATGTGCATTGTCTGTGTGTGTGTTCTGGTGAGTTTCTATCTCCTGGAATGAAATAGAAAAAAGATTTGTGAAGGATGTTGCTGTAATTTAATACCAAAGTTTTGAACCTGAGGAATTTCTGCAGAGAATTTTCTGAGATACAACTACTTGTTCCCTGTCTTGAATTGTTGCATGCCTTCTCCTATGTTTATACTTGCTTTAGATCAATCTACATTAACAGCTCATTTATTCATCGCCTTGTGAATTCCTCTACTCTGTCCGGAGTGATTTCTTTAGTTAGAAATCATATAAGTATTTTTTAGATTATTGCTAACCTTATGCTAAGAATATTGCTTGATTATTGGTGAGATAAACCCATAATCTAGAACTAATTCTCAATTTCTGTCACTTCAAATTTATGGCCTGGGGTTGTTTGTGGTCTGTTTTTTTTATACCACTTATAGCAAAGAACTGTAGTCGCTGGTTTATGTCCATCACATTTCATGTTGAAAGGACTGAGGAGTAATGATGGTAAGAACAGGGCAATTGTTTCTAATAAAAAAGATGGAAGAGAACCATAGTGCTATTGTCTTTTCTATTATAAAGCATATTTAGGATAAAACTTGAAGTAGTTACTAAATATGTTTTTTGTTTTTATTCTCACATTTTGATAAGTACAAATGACTTTCAAATATGTTTTTTATTTCAGTACTTACCACAAAATATAAACAAAATTTGTCTCTGTTTTTTATTTTTTTGAAGACTCAAAAACAAAAACATTATCAAACGACCCCTGAAATTTTGATCGACTTTGAGCCTAAATTAAAGTGGGACTTGTTCATTGTTTAAAGTAAACTTTTGTGGGTTCATATTCTACTACGTGAGGAGAATAATGTAGTATATTCACTTGCTCAAATCGAGTAAAAAAATGAATGAGAAAATAGGCTTCAAAGTGAACCTCTTGAGATATGTAAATAAATGTTATGCAATGTGAATTTGACACCAATTTCACATTGGTTGAAAAAAAAATTCAACATAGGCATATATAGGCCAAGTTTGCTCTATTAGATTTGGCCCCAATGGGTACCATAATTTAATGAGTGGAGCAAGCGACTACATGCCTTCGGTTCGACCACACGCGCACGCACAGCCTATCTGGCTGGGCTCGGGTACGGGTATGGGCAAGATAAACCCTATCTTTTTTGAAAAAATTTGTTTAATTAATTGGGCCAGAATTTCTTAATCTGAATTTAATTTTCGGTATCCTTTGAATCCCACTGGTTCGAATTTGTGCTTCCCTCCAATTCAAAATTTTGAGTCCAATCCGAAATTGAGTTGTGACTGTTTATGGAGACCAGTTACTCAATGTGTCTTTTGGGTGTTAAATTTTATCTTCTAGGTTGTGATTTTTAGTATGGTGGCTGTTTGAACAGTCACCAGAATATTTATAAATATCCAATTCATGCATTCATTCATTCATATTTATTATTCAGTCTATTTTCGACATTAACGCATACATTAGTGCATTGCAATCTACATTTCAGCATTAAGGCAGTGTGTTGAAGAGTACACAGAACAATTTTTGGTTCGCTGGACGAGTAGAATGGAGTGCTACATTTGCTCATGTAAAGATCAGTGTACCTTGAGAGGCAGACGCTCAATATTCCATATGCACCGTGTGTCGAGATAAAATTTATTTTAAGGACATAGTGTAAAACACTAGCCTTAATCTACATCAACTTCAAAAACAGTACCTATTCTAAACCAGATTAGTATTTCTTTTGGCTTGACAAACAGTTACGACTATTTCGTAAGACTGCAGTAACTCTTTCGTATAAGATTGTTTCTGTGTAATTCTTGATTATTACTGTTTTCTTATACATTACATGATTCAAATCAAAATTTTCAATAAATAATTTTACAATATTTGAATACCACGAACAACAATGTACACATGCCTATTTTGGTCACGGAGCCGTCTCTTAATAAGTGAGGCACAATGAACTTACATACCCCTTGACTAATTTTTTTTTAATCTAGTTAAACACAAATAATCTACGTCAAAACTAAAATATGCATGATAAATAAATCTCAAATAATCTAACTATAAAAAATTACCAAAATTTAAATTTATAATTCGTTTCTGTTACCATTTCAACAACCTTAAAAAACTTATCAATAGTATCCTAGAGTTGGGCCCATAACTTTGTGGGTAAACAGTAGGCTGAGACTGGACATGTGAGTAGAGATAGTACTACTGCCAACTTTGGTACAAATCAAAGGAAGAGCTGAGAAGATGATGGGGGGCCACACTGTAGTTTTGCTTTTTTAACTTCAGTAGAAAGTAGCAAGATATCAGAAGGGTTATTGGGAGGACAAAATGTTAAAAGCATTTATCCATACGCAAGATCCAAACACTATAATTTGCTCTCAGCAAACAAACCTCAACATGCATACATATTTACAGACTGATCAATTAAAGCAGAACACTCCACAACCCAAACAAGGTATTCACAAATTCCAATTCTGACCTTACACCAAATATTCTTTCCTACTTCACACATAATGCTCTACCATTACCATTAAAACCCAGTCCGACAAACTTACTTTTGCCAACTCTGAGCAAGCTCCAAAAAAATATTGAGCAACCCGTCCCCAACATATATTTTGTACTCCCAACAACTCCTAAAGAAGAAGAGAAGACAAAAAGTGAAAAACTTTATGCTTCAGATCTTGGCTCTGAATCTAAGCTTACTAATGTCCCTTCACCCTCTAAAGAAGACATGGGAAGCTTGCAACTAAGAATCATTTTCTTCACTGCCTCTGTTGAAAATATGAAAATCTTCCTCACCATTCTACAAAATTCCCTGCAAGAAGATATTTGAAAACAAAACAACATAAAATACCTGATCAAACGAAAAGAAGATAGTAGATTAGAAATTTGAAGCCACTCACGGCCATGGATCATTGCCCACAAGCATCATATCCCCTTTATCATCGGTGTAAGCAACTTCCCATTTGTTCCGTGGATGAAGCTCTCCTTGAATCTCAAACATTTTCTCCAGCCCAGTAATAAGGTCATTGTACCCGTCCAGTGTAGACAAATCAACAGCACGACCAACAGCAACCCCTTCCATTTGCACCTTACCAAACAGCCAGTAACTTAAATCAGAAACTGACTATTTATATGCAGCTGAGCTTATCAGACAGAATGTGTGAATTTCACCTTAGTGCGACTTCTTGTGGAAGTAGTGCTACCCAACTCACTTTGCATCACCTTTGTTAATGCCTCCGATTGAACTTGTTTCTTTTCTTTTGAGGACTTTGAAAGGTCTGGATTCTCATGCCTATCAGCTTCAGAGACAGTAGCAGGTGTGGGATGTTCAATACCACTGCCGGGCACAACATTTGGAGACGCCACTTCTTTCTCTGGAGGCAAAACGGGGTTAGAGTTATTTCTCAGATCAAAACCAAATAGCCTGCAACTTGTTGAAGTATCAGGTTTTCTCCCCTTGTCCACTTGGTCGAGCATCAGGCCATTGCTTGCCCTTGATGAGACAGGAGATGTATAATCAGAAACAACAGATCTTGTTAAAACATTTTTCTTTTCTTCTGTCTCTCGAAACAGATTTAGCGAACCATTCATAAGCACAGAAGTTGGCCGCATGCCATCAGGATTGCCCCTTGAGCTACGGAGGTTGCTGCTATTCGGGATATTGCTATCAAGTTCTTTCTGCCTTGGAGGCCAGACAACTTGGCTTACTTTGCTTTGGACTTCAGTAGTACTGAAGTGGCCAAATTCAAGGGATGTAGCTGACCCCGGACACCAGAATGGTGAAGCAGCTGAACTAGCAGTAGGTTCTACATTCCAAATGGACCCAAATAAATACTCGACCCCAATATTGGATTACAAAAAGAAGTTAATAGTTTTAATACCAGTATGTGGAAGATCAATAGGACGGGGTCTCTTGATCTTCATCATGGGTTGAGTTAACTCTACAGAAGCGGAAGCTGCAAAAGGCTCCAGCTCCCATGGTGAAACCCTCTTGGGCCTTTGTATGGTTGCTGGTTCATCCCATTGAATCTGAAGGGGAAATCATTTGGAAACATATAGCAAAAACAAGGCAATATATAAATCAATATTCAGAGGAATCAAAAATATTTTCAACCTTTAAAGACCGCCATTTAGAGTCCAACCACTCTGAGGAGATACCATCAGTCCCAACTATAGTGCCTGTGAATCTGAAGAAACAAACCACGTAGGAAATAGAAGCGATGAAATAGCTCCCAACTACAGAAGAATAGAAAAATTACAACAATACCTTCTTTCGGGAGATTCTTCTCCTTCAAATCTCATTTTGAACCGCATGCCCACAGAAAATCCATGACTGACAGACTCTAGATACTTGTTCAATCCAATAATAAATTGGCTTGTCCTGTAGAATGGCATGCAGCATATGAAAGCAAAAGCCAAATATAAAAAGTCAACAGAAAAACAAATGACACATCAAAAATTAAATAACATCACCAACATCAACAGAGAGAGAGAGAGAGAGAGAGAGAGTAATAGACCTCGGCTTGTAGTACACAACAAATAGGGTTTGTGTCGTCATAGCATGAGATGCAGTAGCAAGCACTCCAAGATGCATGCTCTGGCTGGATATCACAGATGGGGGCATGGGGCTTTGTTGTCGAGTAAGACGTCGAACCCCAACACGCAATTCCCCATTATCCCCCCTACAGGACAATAGTTGCAAGTCAATAACTCAATTGCTTCAGCATCTTTAGACCTAAATCAAAACCAGTGGGGTAGTTGGGAAAGCAATCCAAGATCCTCTACCTCAAAAACACAAAGGCGTCCCCTGCAACTAATCTCTTGGAGGTTACAAATGTACTCCATCCTGTTGTAAGCAAGTGTCTTCGGGGTTGACCTTATAACAAGAAGTGAGGTAAAGAAGCAGATTACAAATTCACATCATGGTATAAAACATATCAGCACCCTTTTGCTCTGTATGGAGTTGTTCAGGATGAGATGAATCAAACAACTGCAATAGCAAATTTCATGACAAAAGGTTACCTCTGAATATATGTTTAAATCGCCATTCGTACCCATGAAGATCTTTAGCAACCAAATCCTGAGTAGGTGTTGCTTGGGTCATGTCCTTGAGGATTAGAAACAGCACCATAAATGTCAGATCACTAATACTTGGTTTAATAAATTTTAGCAACAGAAACATAAACCTGGTAGATGAGAGGGGGAATGTAGGAAATAAATAGAAATCTAACTTCGAGCCGCGGGTTTTTCATTATCAAGACCGGTGTAGTAAAAACTGCCACCATACTCAGATAACGCAAACCATCCATTCAAATTGAGGTGATCTTATCCTATAAACTAAACTGTAAAATTATATTTTCGCTTAATTTCAATTTTCGCTGTAACCAACAGAGTAGTGAAAACAAGAAAATTTACCAATGGAGGCAGGCTTTCATTGGCATGTTTCCGGAGAACAGAGAACCCTCCATGGGTGCTTGTGTCCGACGCTGTTAAAATCTTACAAAATGAATGAACAGTTTTCCTTGGAGGATCAGGTTGACATGGATCAGGACTACTAGGCTCAGTTTTCTACAAAAACATATAACCCAAAATAATACCAAATTAGGGGGCCCAAAAAGAAATAATAACAGCAATAATTGCTGTCATCTGAGGCTCGGTTGGCTATAACTTATAAGCATCACCAGACGACATTTAACAGCAAATACATAACGGAAATCCATTTTTCCAACAATAGAAAAGGGCCTAGAATGAAATAAATATAAATTATAACCATAATAAGAACAACAGTAGTTTACATACATCTGCTTCCGGGTGTAAAGTGATCTGAGCATACACTTCATCTGTTTCTGGTTCTGCCTATTAGTCGAACCAAAACAATTGCAAATAAATATAACACATTCTTGAAAATAAAAGATAGGACGAACAAGTTTTGGAACCAAACATCTGAGATGATAATACCAGTAACTGAATGTTATAAACACGACAAAGGATCTTAGATGGAAGACTAAACAGTGGGATTTGTTGATTCAGACCCTGATTTGTTGATGCCTCTAACTACAAAACCCAATAAAACATGAATCAAATCAAATGAAAGTTCTAGTAGAATGAGGAACTAAGGTTTTCAGCAAGAGAAAAGCATACTTGTTCCATGTGACCTTGAGGGAAGTAATAAACTCTCTCTCCATGACGGGGAACATCAACTAGAGGTCCTGCACATGCCTTCCATAGCTCTGTATAAAGATCATCGGTTCCCATACCTACCAACACAAATCAACCAGAAAAATGAGGACAAAGTTAGTCAACATGCATGTGCTCTGCCGGCTATAGAAAGCGAAGGAAAAGAAAACAGAAAATGGGAAATATCTCTGCTTTTTCAGCAACCAAACAGAGGGGTCAAGTTGAGACATTTTTTTTTTCCAGATAATATACAGCAATTTATAAAATCACCACCAAGCAACCAGACACCTAGTCTGTTTGGCTGCCGGGAGACTGAAAGATAAGAAATGAAAATGGAAGCAAGAGTGAAGGTCAGAATTTCAAGCTTTCCTATTCTACATCTTTCTCAGAAACCAAATTGAAGGTGAAGCTGCAAAATTGGTCAGATAAAAAACACTAAATTTCTACAAACCCGCAAATATCAGCTACTTTCTCACCTGTTTCTTGGTGTGATACAGTGTGAGAAACCGAAGATCCTCCGAGACAATCAACATGGGCCATTCAAAGCCACCACCAAAACAAAAGCTGAAAGTTGAGAGATAGGGAGAGAGAAAGAAAGCACCCAGAAACACTAAAGCTTCTTTGAAAACTTATCTTTCACGCACTTCAACCTGACCCATTTATCATGACCATCAACAATCCAAACAAAGCCTACCCGAAATTCATTTACTGCAGACAAATTAATCAACCCTTTTCATTGCTTTATAGATACAAATAGGGAGATATATGTACATGTTCGGACCTTGTAACAGTCTCTTTGTAACGAGTGCAATCGATGGTGTACTGTTTTTTTCTTCTTTTCTCTCACTTATCAGTTACAAAAGCACTCTTAGCTTTGTCCTCTCAGCGACAAAAACCACCTTCCCAGTTCAAAACCGCTTTCTCTTCCAACATTTTCCTCAACCTCTCTCTTTCTCTTTGGACAGACAGTATCACGCCTGAATCAAACGTTACCAAATCCCCAAAACCAATTTTCAGGCGTTCTATTCTACCACCACTTTGTGTCTTTGTCTGTCTCTCAACTCTTTCCCTCAAACTATATAGTTCCTCGCTCTCTCTCTCTCTATACGGCATAGCGTCTCTCTGACTGTCACTTTCCCCCTCGCGCAAATTAACTTTAACCCAGTTAACTAGTGTTGATAATCGGATTGATTTTTAAAACATTTTTTATTTTATTTTTCTAATATATATTAATTATAAAAAAGTATTCATAAAATATGCAAATTTGTAAAAAATATTTTCTATAAAAATAAATTTCAAAATATTTTTTTATATAAATGGTGGGTTAAACTCACACTTTCATACAAACTATTATAAAACAAAAAAAAATTCATTGAGTCTCCGTATCATAATTATAAAATAAGAAACATAACATTATGTATGTAATTGGATGATGTGTCCAAGTGATTTGGAAAAAAATATTATAAAATACAAATTATTTATGTTACTGAATTTATTCTGTCACACAAACATTATGTATTACTGTGTGTCTTCTAGATGTTGAAAAATATGTTTAACTCTAATAATCTGCCTTAATTAAGAAAATTTAAATTCAATCATTAGACGTAAGTATTCGAATTCTTACTTATACTTACTGAGTCAACAGTAGATTGATATTTTTAAGCTTGTTCAACCTTCAAAGAATATAAAAGGAAGAAAACATTAACCGTGGTTGGGTTTAAAGCTTGTTTGTACGGCAAGATGCGAAAGTGAATGATAGTGGCCTGCGACAACGGCGGCGGGCATTAGCCACTGACCTGTGCGGGGGTGACGCGCCACAGGACAGGGTTGACGGCGCATGGGAAAGCGTTAATTAATGGAAGTGACGAAAACCGTTAACTTTTACAGCGTTATAACGTATAAGGAGACGGAGATGTATTTGACATCTCTTTCTTCGGCAGGCAAGGCCTCTGTTTCAGCGAATTTCATAATTATTTTTTTTTTTGTTCGTTACATGATTTTGACCTTGCATGTGAACATAATTACAGTAATGGGTAGGAAGGTCTCATACTCATTCATCATCTCTGCTTGAGCCACAACACCCTCACCGTGTCCTAATTTGTTAGAACAGAAGGGCCCACAGTACACTTCAGCACGATTGCCTCGTTTTTGTTGCCCCGTGACTTAATTTTGCCACCAAAACATTTTTATTTCAATTTTTATATATATATATATATATATATTTATTTTTAAATGTAGTTGCCACCCTACCCTGGTCTAATTTAAATGGGACAAGTTCGGAAACAAAAGGGAAGGGTGAGGTGAGTGGAAAGCACTAAAAGGTTAATGACTAATGATCCCAAAAGTCCAAATAATAAAACGAAATCTTGTTATCCTTCAGCTATTTGTAAGTTTATCATTAGGACTATTATATTCTTGAACTTTTCTTGCTAATCTCTTACTGATCTGGCAATGATGAACAAGGTCAGCTTGAATTCTAGTATATTTATCTGCGTTGGTGGTTTAAAAAAGAAAGTTATAGGGGAGTTTGGGAAAAGTAAGTAATAAGATTAAAATGGTGTTAACTTTAAGTCAAGCCAAAATTAAGTATGGGCTCTTATATACTTACTCTATGTACATATGAGAAAATATTTTTGTTTTTGAATTTACCGATGGTATGGTATTCAAGTTGGAAGCCGCTTCGTGAATTTGACCTAATTGAGCTCATTCCACTAAATTTTTTTTACAAAATAAAGTAGTTTTGGCCTAAATATGTGATGCAATTATTATGCTTGCACTATTTTTACAATCTCTTTCAAAAGCTAGTTTTATTTGGACAACGAAAGCTAACCAGCATATTTTTATGTATCTTACCTATTGTTTTGTAATCTTTTTCTTAAATACTATTCCTTTCTTTTTTTTAACTTTTTATATATTTTTTTTAGTAGAGCCTGTTTTTATATATTTGTTTTTCACTTTTTTCTGACTTGGCCCTACTAAGGTTTTTTTAAGTTTAATAGTGCGCGCACACGCACATATATTACAAAACAGTGCATTAAGTTTAATAACACACACACACACATTTAAAGCTAAACAAAAGGGTGTGTGTGTTTACTTGGAAAAAAAATTACAGAACAGTGCATTAGGGATATGAGGCATCCACTAATGATGGAGAGGATCTATTCCCTTTGACCTATATAGAGAAGGGAAATTATGAAAGCAAAGTTTGAATTGATGGAAGTATTTTTGGGATTAAAATGACCACCAGTCCTTTCAAAAGTGACAAATTCCTATGCACAAAGTATTATAATTATAATAATATTGTCCATCACCACACGAGTGAGAATATTTCTAAACATTATTAATTGAAAAAAAGCATGGTAGTGGAGTGGAATCCAAATCATAGTCCGAATTACAATTAATTAAACACTGAGTCGCCCTTGTATTAAGCTGCTGTGTTTCACTTCTCTTAGACAACAAACAACTCACCAACATAACAAACCCCATCTCTTTACTCATTTCCTTATCATGATGGCCCTTTTTCTTGGAAACCCACATCAATAAGCACTGTTTTATGTGCCACTAGAGGGATACTTTTGGGTTTTTTTTTGAGTTACAAAAAAAATATTAGTGCCACTAGGTACCTGAATATTAGTGAAAAGTTACCATTAAAGAGATCTAACCGTCAATTTATAGATTAAGATAGTATCTCATCAATTGTCAATAAAATAAGATGACTCGAGTCTAGCTAGTATTGTTTGGTCTCTTCAACTATTGAACTGTACTACCGAAACGGATGGTGATCTTTTTCAAAATTAAAATTTTATATTGGGGAATAATTGACATGAAGGTGTGAAATGAATAAACGATAGATTGAATCATTACTATGCAGCTTGGGTATACTGATATATTTTAGAGTAATGCCCTATTTGGAGCATATACCAGTGAAAAGGAGAGGGTGCGCTTGAAGACCCAACTTTATTCAGCCCACAAAGTAGGATTTGATTCCTAATTGCATCTGTTTTAACCTCAAGCAACCACTTTGACCCTTCTGTTTCTCCAAAGTTATGTCCAATGAATTTTGTACCCCACTCCTTTTGGTCGTTGGAAGTTACTATTAAAAAAGTTTTGGATTTGATGCCTTTTATTAGCAATTTCCTCAAACAAAAAACCTTAGAAATGAAAAAAAGAGGGAAGGACTTCAAAAATAACACACTATAACTTTCTATATGTGTACCAAAAAAAAAAAGAAAAAAGAATATAGTTGGAATCGTACCACAATTAGTTTTTGCAATTTACAATTATAAACCATATATATTCAATAGATTCGCAACCTAAAAATCAACAAATAAGACTAAAAGCAGATATGAAATGACTTTTTAGAAAAAAAAAAAAAAAAAAAAAAACACCTTGGAGAGATGAGAGGCTCTATAGTTTGGAAGGATTCATTGTGGAGCTTATCGCCCTCATCCTTCATCTCTTAGATCCATCACAAACCCTAACTGCATCTACGTTATTAATTACTCTGCATGGACTTTCATATTGAATGACTGAATTTCCTAAACAAAACTGATGGAACTGTGTTGTGTTGTGTAATGTTTATTAAGAGTATCTAATACAAATAACCTTTTGTCGTTAATCATTTGAATATAGCTCCAAAAATAACATAAATAAGTTCCTGGAAAAACTGAACCCTTTCCTGAACCAATCATGCACAAGGTTGGAGTTGGAATGCAACTCTTTTTCTTAGCAATTACGTTGTCATTTCTTCGGAACTTGGCCTGAAGAAGTAACTCAGCTGCTTATAGTATATAATATTGTGGAATTTGGACAACAATTGCATGATTAGGTGCTAAACCGGATTTACTACTCTAAGCTCCTCGAGATATGGGCATAAAAAAAAAAAACAGATCAATTGCGTTGAGTTATGCGATTCTTTTTTATGTATATTTTTAAATCTAGTCTACTCTTTAGAAAATAGAGATTAAACAATATGAAGCCACTAGAAAAAAAAAATTGAAAAATGTGGAACTTTGATTCTAGTATTCTCTCTCAACGGGATTCCTTCTTGGGTTTACTCTTCATTAAGCCTTTATTATTTTAGACCTTTACGTCAAATAAAGGTCTATTAACTCTTTCTTGTTATGATCTCAAACCTCACCCCGCTCTTGTCACACGGGCTCCAGTGAAGAAGCTGGGGAAGGTTGAGGAGACTTTGTCGTTCTGCTCCTCATAAATTATGTTAGGATCGGCAAACTCATCCTTTTGGAATGCACAAATTCAGGTTTGTTTTTACTCTTTGGAGCTTTGTTATTGAATCATATATACGGACCTTGTCAACCTTCTTCATGTGTAAAAACAACATTGACAGCCTTAAGGTTTGGTTTCTTTTCCCAACTTATTACCTCTGATGCTAAGGTGATGTCACGTTTTAATGACGTTGGTGTGTGATGAAGGGTTCTTTGTATGGAAGAGAGTTAGACGAATGGTACGCAGTGTCACGTATACGACCACGCGAGTGCACACACAGACAGAGAGAGGGGACATACAAATTAGTCTTAGAAAATGAGACGAGATACTTAAAAGTGGTTCACAGCACGTTTAAGAATAAGATGGGACATGCAAGATGTTTAGCAGGTTACTAAGGAACAAATTGATGGCAATTACAAAGCAGTAATGCTAGACTGATCAAAATTTGAGATCAAATTTGAAACTCAAATGACATGACAGTTTATTTGAGCTTTTTTTATTGGTATTATGTCATTTGGGACTCAATAAAAACTACAAATAATTAATTGTCATGTCATTTAGACTCAAAATTTGATCCCAAATTTTAGTCAACCTAGCATTACTCATTACAAAGAGGGTAGCGCACTTGCCTCGGGAGTATGCGCATTTGAGGTTGGATTTCATGTTAAATTAAAGTTTAGATGTGAGGACAACGACGGGCAATTGCATTTATATAGGTTTATGATCCAAGTGGAGTCCCTCGCTTCATTTGAGTCCATGTAAGTAAATATGTCTACTTATGTCTCATATAAATTACAAATGAGAATTAAATAAAGTTAGTAATATTAGAGTAAATCAGAGCTTAGAGCTTTACTTGATGATAAAGATGCTCTATTGTAATTTGGTGTTAATGGTTCAAGTGCAGAGAGTAGAGACATCTGTCATATTTGTTGGTTGGAATATAATTTCGTACATCTGATTTTCTCCAGATCTCGTAGTGGTGAGATTTTGGTACAATAAAATAAATTGTTTTGTATATAACATTGGGACAAAATAGTGTACGATCGATTATGGGTTCCTTGCCAAAAGACTGACTTTTGATCCTTCTCCAACCGTTTAGATCGACTTTCGAGATCACCGGGCCCCAATTTTTTCCCCCATCTCTCCCTCTCTCCTTTATTCTTTGGGACAGTAGGAGTAGGACCCAACTCATGTCACATACGCAGGAGGAAAAGAAGAGAATCGGGGCTTTTCTTGCAAACATATTCAAATGACTTGTGCTTTCTCTTGGGAGAGGTCCAGGTGGTAAACACATTCAGCAAACTTTCCTATCCTACTTTCTTCTTAGGCTTGTGTCATCTCTCTCCTGATACATCCCAGTAGGAGGCCCTGAGGATAATCAATCGCGGCATTATCACAATGGTGCTATGCAATATCCATGAAAGAAGAAAATTTTGAAATTGATGAGAGCATCCAGTGCAGCGTTATGGAACGGCATCAACCAATTCAATAAACAATAATTCAAAAAACTTGGAATTGTCTCAGACAATCCAGTGGAATTGTGTGAGACTCGTGATTTTTATAGAATATAGAACAATATTAAGTAAAAAAATTACTCAATCATATAGATATCGGTTGACACTTTGAAATTTGAACCACCCTTTCTCTCCCGCACCCACACCTACACATAGTAGATAGTTATTTTGGATTCAAGTTGGAGGAATTCATGAGAATTCCATTTACATATCCCAAACAAAGAAATATGCAAATTTAGCTAAAACAAAACATTATTGCAACCAGAGAAACTGCTTGTATAGTGTGATAGCCATATGATTGGTGGACCGGGATGATTGGTCAATTTAGGCAAATCATGCCACTAACTCACTCAGTCAACAAGCACACTATCGGCATTTGATTGGTCAATTAAAAGGCCTAACAAACAAAGCAAATCAGCGCTCAAAGTAGGCAAGCAAATTTTGTGGGACCAGATTATGGGGCCTGCCATAATAAAACGACGTCGTGTAGGCGAATTAGAGGCTGTTAACCATCGTGATTATATCAGTACTATTGTTAGGATCGAAGAAAGACAATCAATCATACATTAAAATGGGAAATCATGAATGTACTAACAAACGTTTAAAAATGTTTTTAGTGGAGTTCAGTTTGGCAGTATAGCAATATAGTTCATCAAGATTTGTGCTTTTGTAGAACAATGCTGTCTATAATAATATTAATAGTGTTGTAAAGATGAGTGAGGTGGTGTACCATAATAAATTAAGACGGTTCTAATGATTTTTGGTTAGATTATATGGACATCTCTCGAGTTCTGCAAAATAAGATAACAATCGATCACTCTTTTTTTTTTAACTTGTAACAATCGATCACTTATGCAGTGAAACACCTTACAGTTTGAAGTTCTACACTTTAAAAGCCAGAAATATTCTTAGTGGATACGGGATGTGAAACCCTACAACTTTTTTTTTTTTTTTTTATTTAACGAGTCTAAAAATTGTCTTATATATGAACGGACCTAGTTTTATAAATTCGAACCGAATCTTTTTAAGCTCATTTTTAAACAAATCTAAAAAATTATTTAAACTCAACTCGTCGAATCATATTTGAGTCGAGTCGAGTGAGAGTATCTTGGCACAATTATCAGTCATGTGCAAAATGAGTCCATCGGCGTGCCAATCAATTGGACCACTAGGTTTGATAATGCAGGTCCCCTAGTGATGGTCCGAAGACCCCTTGAGGTCCACGAGCCATTACGAATTCCCGATTCCTAGTAAAAATTACACTTTTCCCAACCACGGGCTATGGATGGATCATGGGTTGAGTGTCATGCCCGTAATCTGACCTGTCCCAACCAAGAATAGGCTTTTTGGTTAATCTATATATAATAAGGTAGTTCACAAGTTGAATTTTATCCCCTACATATTTTCTCTCTAAAAAATATTATATCACTAATTTTTATCACATGCTCAATTATTTTAATATTTAATTTTAATTTTTATTCACATATTATCCATACACTCTAATATATATATATATGTTAAGAATTTTTGTCAAATTATGTATTTTGAAAAAAAATTGTCAATATTTTTAAGAAAATAATTGATAAACAAAGAAAATTTATTATTTAATATAGTGAAATAAATTTTTTTGAGCGTTCGAATTTTATATTTTATCGTGTCTTCATGTACGAATTATGACTAGTTCTAAAATAAAACAAAAGTGAAAATTTATAGAATGGCAATGGGATCTCCACAGAACCCACATTATTCCGAATGCTACACAATGGGAATGTGGGGAGTGGGGTATCCTCTTGATTGGAATAATAGAATGGGGCATCTTATTTTTGGATTTACTCAAAAGAGATCGTCCATTACACAATAATTTTCTCCGAGCTATTTAATCTACTACTATTTTATTGTCTAGTTGGGTTGGGGGCGATTGACACTTGGCTCAAGAATAATAATGATGAAAATTTCAAAGATTAACTCAAGTGATATCATGGAGGAGCTGTAAATTCAGATATCCTAAATTCGAATCTTGATAACTCTTTAAAATTTATTTCTCGTGAATACTTTAGTCTCGGTGTGAATGGTCTGTCGTGAATCAGATCGAAGAAGGGATTAATTAAATTGCACGTAAACTTATCTTAACTTATGAAAAAAAATTGTTGATTAAGGGTTACGCATGCATGACGCTAGTGTGATGATCACGTACACACTCGTACGTGTGAAAATAGCAAACTATTTGTTTAACACGTATTATTATATTAAGGGGAGAATGGCTTTAATGTTTGTTCAAAATATGATGGCTGAAATAAAATCAAAAAAAATGCCCACTTATTTGTGTTTTTTCTGCTAGAAATTCAGCATTCGTCAACAAACAAGGGAAGGGGCCTCAAATCTTCCATGTATTTTATATATATATATATATTCCCTTCCATAAAGTCTTTGTATTTTGCACAATAAATAATTGTTGTTATATAATCTTAGTCGCATGACCTTAAGATTTGCTGACCCATTCTGTTATCCTAGACCTAGTATCAAAACCTAAACTCATACATATATATTCATGCCCTTTCTCTTTTCATAGTTTTGTTCGTAAACCCACCCTTCAACAGGTATTTCAAATGTATAGATTTTAGGTGTCATTATTTTGAAACTTTAAAGTTGTAGTTTACCCGACACATGATTCATAAATAATTACGCACATACAGCATTTGAATTTGCATTGCAATCACGAGTTACTGTCCCCCAAGACCCCAACTTGTAAGATTTCAGAAACAAAATTCTCATAAGCCTAAAGAAGAAGTTGTGAGAAAGGCCTGAATGCCCACTACGAAGGCTCCTTCCAAGTCCATAACCGTCCAGCTCTCACTGTACGGTGACATTTTTTTTTTTTTTTTTATTTGAAAGGATTGATAGCAGCCATCTAATATATGATGACGTGCTCCACAGAGGTAAACCATGTGTACAGAACAATCCCAAGAGTTCATATAAAACTTATATGAAATGCATACGACTCAATTTTTATAATTAACTCGCAACAACTCAATCCAATTTCCTCAAAAAATATTACAGTATTTCTTTCCGACATCACTGCCTCAACAACACAAAATGAAGGAAGGAGTATACACAATGAAGAAGAAGAAGAAGAAATGAAAAGGCTTGAGCTACAACGCGATTAGCCAGAGTGTACATGCAACATCTGCCATGAAAGCACGTTGATGAAGACTCCAGATGAACAGTGACCCTAGGGACCCATTTATTCTAATGTGGGACTTCCATCCAACTATGTAGGCAATAAAAGGGACACCCATGACCACAATGGAAGCAACTCGACTGCATGAGATCCTGAAAACGACACAAATGGATGATTACCCAACTGAACCAGTCGACTGCAATGCTGGAGCACCATTTGCTCACAGATGCATGCTGAACAAGACCAGACTCGGCAAAGCTGTGGCCACAAATCCATATCAACTTTGACATTCTCATTCGACAACCTGAAAAATTGCACAAATGGATTATTTAAGTTTTTTGTTTCCTACACTGGCTGGAGGAGAATAAAGTTTATCAGGGTCAAAATACAAGAAAATGCATGAGATATAATTCCTGCTATAGTTGAAAAAGGGAACTTGCCCTCCTCACTCGCACTATGGGCAAAATGGTGAATTCCATTGCTACAGAATGACTAAATTATTGAGAAGAAAGCTGGTAAAATGGACTTAATGAACATTACAAAGGGGGAGCCAATTAGTTGGAATTCTAAAGCTCTGATCACTCACAACCTATTGGATGTAAAAAGGTCCATAATGGCGATGCATGACCCATCGTTCTACAAATAGTCATTTTCTGATAGGATCAGAAATGACACTAGGCATAATCTCAAGTGCTAAGGTCAGAAGCAAAAAATATTATGTATCTAGCAAATTATTATAATGACAAAATTAACGTGATGAAAACAATAATACTGCTTTGAAGGAACCATAGAAAAAAGAAGATAATCTCAAGAAACACTCACATGTATCCCATTAAATGGAGCTAAAGTGAGACACAAAAGATGCAAGGTGCATCATAGTAAAACACAGTACTTCCTACCAAAACAAAATAAATAAATAAAACATGGTACTACATTAATAAGAAAGATAGGGGGCGCAACTCGAGCAGGTTGGGCTGGTTGATAGGCACACTTGGGCTCAATCAAGTAATAAAATGATGGATCAGAGTTATATCAAACCTTTCAACTCGAGTACTGCTCATGTTTAACTTTGTAAACATGGGTTACACAACCCTGGTTGAATGCAAGTGCAATTTTGATTAGATTCACAACTCGGGCTAAAATTCAGCTTCATTTCTGTTGCATTCCGATATCCCAAGACACCACCCAAGTATTGCCGAATCTGACTCAGGTTGGAATTTTTTATTCAAAGCCAATACGAATATTGGATATCTATGCCCAAGTACCAAATATTTAGGATTGTCCTCAGGTTGCCTTCAAGTTGACCCCTCCAAGTTGCACCCCTAAATAAGATGTGTTGCAAAAAGGAGGAACATACCTTGGGGTAGCTTGTTAGTCAAACTATAGAGAGACCATAAGAGCTGCAAAGCTGGAGTAGTGCTGCTTGATTTGTGGGATCAAGATTTTCAGCAATGACTTGTGGGTACCTCCCAGGGGAACGAGCAGAGAGATTTGCCAATGAAGAAACCAAAAATTGTGTTGGATCATCAATTTCTTTCAGAGGATCCTCCTCTTTCTTCCCAGCATTGTACAAATGTACAAAGGTGGCATTATAGCCAACAGCCTCCCCATAATCTGGTACTTCGGGTTCTTCCTGAACTCTATCCTGCTCTGACTGTGACAGAAGAGTAACAATGCTGTCCAGCATTTTCCCCCAGAGTCTACTAGCTGCAGGATTCAATAGGGCTGGAGATTCACAGATGAGTCTAGTCGAAGCAACTGAAGTTAACTTAAGTTCAGTGGAACCTGTGATCAGCTTAAGGTTAGGTATCCAAAACTGCTCCAAGATGACAAGAAAAATATTAGGCTGAATAGTGTTCGTTGAATCCACAAGGTTCTGAGAGCCATGCTTGATCAGAACTAAAGACATGAATATTACAAGAGATTTAATAAACTTCCCTGTTCTGTTATTTTGGAGCCGTGTAAACAGGGAAGCCCAAATGTGGCCCATGTAGGGTGCAATCACATCATATTCAAGGTACTCAATAACTGTGTTGAGAACATAAAATCCTTGTTCATCTGTGCTAGGAGAAGAAACAAGCTTGTTGAATATTCCAAGCACATGGGTCAACCTCCCTTCTTGGTTAAGCTCATGAGCTGCCTTCTGAAGGAAGGACTGAAGCAATCGCACAAGAGCCGGAACATTTGCAGATTTCTTCCAGGAGTCAGGCAACAATAGAATCTCAAATATCTGCATATAATGCTGCGGAATAGGGGGTCTATTCAACTCAACTAGCTGAGCCAGCAGCTGGAATGCATAAGGGAAGAACTCTGATACATCCTTGGCCAAAATCAACTGGAGACTAGGGAAAAGGCTTGCTTCAAAAGCTGATATAAGAGAAGGGTTCTTCTCACATGCCCTCCTGACAAGAACAGCCACGGCCTCAAAGAGGTAATGATTGAAGATGGGATTTTTTGGGTTTTCACAGACTTTGATGAGAACAGAGGTTAGCCCTGTGATGCAAGGAGAAGCAACCTCAGGAGTAATATCTGCAACTCCCAGAACCCGCATGATACATTTCATAACATACTGATTCTCCTCAGATTCTGGCTTCTGCAAGGCACCAAAAAGGTTGGTCATCAAAGCCAGCAAAAATGGACTGATATCAGATGATGTATATCTCGCTCTCGCCCCGTCATCCTTGACCAACAAGAGCTTCTCAGTGCAACTGGCAGCATAAGAATGAACCACATTTGATTCCGAACTGAGGAAGCGAACCACATCAGGAAATAAAGCCATTGCGATGGGTTTTGGAATCTGACTCCTAAACATAGTGAAAAACTTTAATGCTCCAGCTTTCAACATTGGGAACCCATTCACATCCTGGCTTCTTAATTCCGGTACAATAACTGACCCAAAAAAATTCTCAACATCTACAAGATCAGTTGAGACCGAACTACTACCCGCCTTTTTCGTTGCAAGTGAAACAACCAAATAGATAGCACAGTCCTTGTGTTTCCAGTTCACAGCTGGATTTTCGGAGAACAAGGCCAAACAATTTTGTATCTGAGTGGAAACCTTTTCAGTAACCTTATCTTTATAATTTGTACCAATTCCCTTAAGAAGTTCACAAGCAATCCTCCTCCTCGTTTCAAGATCACTTCCTTCCATATCCCTTCTTATAAACTCAACATAATTCATCTCAAACAACTCCTCATCCTCATCCCTTAACATGACATTTGGAATGACAATGCTCTGGCAAATTTGTTGTAAAATGTCATCCCTTGCAAATAAAGTGTGATGAACACTAGTACTCACCGTGGTCAAGAATTTGAGGGCTGTCACAGTTAGTCGTTCACGACTAGAAGATGCAGAAGCAACCACAAGGAGACTCCAAACAGCTTCCACAAAACCACCCAAGTAACCCTGAAACAACTCCTCTTCCTTCTCCATGTAGTGATTTATATTTTCACACACTGCAGCTCGCAATTCATCAACCAATGCAAGCCCATCACTACCACCATCTTCAAGAGCCTGGTATCTCGCAGCTAAATATTTCTTGAACTCAATCATCCACTCACTCATATGGTCCTCAAAAAACTCAGGCAAGTCTTGAAAATTCAGAGAATAAAATATCCTACAGCTCAACCTCTGAGACTCAATATACTGCCTAAGCTTCTCAACTGGCTGGCCCAAACTAGCCCATGAATCAATCAGCCCTGAAGTTCGCTTAAACATATCCAACAATGGCTTTGCAAAATTATCCAGACAGTATTTCAAATCAAGAAGCAAGTCATTGCTCTTAAATTGATACCGAAATTTCTTAAATAATGAGTTTACAGTAGCAAGAATCCCATTAACAGAAGCATAGTCATTTGCCTCGCTTACAGTACTGAGACTAGAAACAAGCTCAGGAAGCAATGTGGGCCAAGATTTAGGAAAATCATGTTTACCAATCACTGCTAGGGCTTCAGATAATTGGGATTGAATTCGGGGACTGGATTGAAGCATTAAAGAAACGATAAGGGACCTGATTTGCGATTTTTCGTGGTCGGAAATTGGGGTTGCAAGATTGGGGTCATTGGAAACCCAGCGCGACTTGAGGTGGTTTTTAAAGTTAACGGCGGCAGACTGACGGATCTGCTCGTCGACGGAGGGCTCAGCTACAAGACGGAGGACGGCAAGACCGTAGTTAGGTTTATCGGAGGCTTCAGCCAGCGCCGCCTCGGCACGGCGGCGGGGTTCGGGTTGAGGAGAGAGTGCGTTGAGGAAACATTGAGAAAGAAATTGCAGGGTTTCTGGGTTCCACTCCATTTGTCGGTGTACAAGAAAATGTGCCTCTAGGGTTTTGAATTTTGATGTATCTAGGTAGGGTTTTAGAGAGATTTTGTATGTGTCAACGATATGTATGGGGTATTATTCTAGGGTTTTGTGTATATTTGTATAGAATCATATAAGGAGCTTATGAATTGAAGTACAAAGAGATGATTGAGGGAGAGAAAATACCAGAGTGATCGATCGTTTCCTAGCTAGTAGCTGAGAAGAGAGTGTTTGAACGAGAGAGTATAGGAGGCATGTAGAAGGGCTACAGTGAAGACATAGTAGAGAAGACTAAAGAGGATGTATGGCGGGTTGGGTCGTATTGGGCTTTTCTTTTGAAAAGGTGGTCTGGTCACACCTCATGACTAATGACTAACCCAAGTGAAAGGTTTCCCTAGCCTTATTGGATCCAATAGGTGCTTGGTCTTTTTGTCTGGGATATGGTCCAGAATGGCTTGAGGCCTGCCTGTCCTACTCACGAATGTACGTGGCTGAATTGGACCAAAACCCTTGGGATGAGTTCTGGCATGTCTCACCACCATTCTTCCTTTGGATTAGTTTTATGAGACCTAAACAATCTCTCATTCATTCATGTGTGATAATGAATCATATCGGGCTCAACTAATGTCTTACTATTCTTCATTGACGGTGTAATAGTCGATCATTTTACCCTTTCATCATTAAAAAGTCCATGGCCCGTGACTTACGAAACACCATGTTATCACCGGGAGGTAATTAGTCCAACAGCTCTCTGTAATATGACAGTGACCACCATGTTATAACTGGGTGGAAATTAATGCAACAGCTCACCATTACTGTACAGTCAAGGATCGTCACTTGATGAGAAAATCTAAGAAGAAAATAACCCCGCTATACACGTCAAAAATTTAGACCCACTGAAAATTAAGTTCAATTGAGCCTACCTTAAGTATATTTATGTTTCGGAAGATAAGTCTTTCACGAAAGTCTCTTAGCAGTAATTAGATAAATGCACAGTTATCTAAATAGCAATAAAGAGTATTTGATTAGTGATACATCTCTGTGCTTAGCAAATCAGCATTGTTAGTATCAAAATACTTTTAAGTATAGTATTACTTCCAACATGTGGATTGAAACCTTGTTGAGGCAACGTGCATTCAGGAGTAGTGACTTGTGAGTGTTGTATACATAGAAAAAATCGTAGGCCAGCTATAAAGTGGTTGTTTCCACACAAAACAGTCAAATCAAATACATACAAAAGAGGTGCAAAATTGTCAACAAGAGGGTGCATAATACAAATTCCAAGGACTGGTTTTTTTTTTTTTTTTTTTGGGGTGGGGGGTTGTTGAGAGGAGAGACATGCATTAAATCTTACAAAGGGTGTGGAAAATTATTTGCCAAAGTTTTTTGACTTTTGGGAAGAGGCTCTCAACAAACCAACATTTGGTTGGTTTTAGTTGTGGGGTGTTGTTTTAGGGGTGGGGATGATGAGCGATAGTAACGAGTGTTTCAATAACCACATGTTTGACACAAACAATAAAGGGGATGAAGCACACGAACAGCCGACACCAATTCATTTTATAAAAGCACCCATGAAGTTTTTTTATTTTTTTTTTGGGAACAAGCTTACCCATGAAGAATCAAGGTCTGATAATTATTGGGAAGTTTGTGAGGGGCACATAAGATCATACATGTCCAAGACTAGTTATTATATATTTTTTTTTGTTTTTGATTTCGGTTTCGGTTTGGGATATTCGGACCAAATTACATACATCTCGATTAATTTCTTCTTCAATCCGGTCAAAAGTAGGTTATTCACGCAAGAATTAGGACATTCAAGAAGGATTAATCTTTCATGGCTTAACCCCAAGATTTTGTCAAGATTCAAATTCAAGACGTCTGAATTTACAACTCGTTCTTATTACCACTTAAGTTATCATACATGTCCAGGGCTGAAAATAAAATTGAGTTAAACTAGAATTTAACAGTGCGTTTGGTAACATTTTTGTTTTTAAATTTTTGTTTTTTTAAAAAAATAGAACTACTTTTTGTTTTTCTATGATAAAAATTAAAAATATAAAACATGTTTGGTAGTCATTAATATTTAAAAATTTATGAAAACAAAAATAAAAAACTTGTTTAATATTATACAAAAAAATTCACCATCCAACTCCCACCACCTAATCTCACTGACCACCCAAAACTATCGCTCAAACCCCACCACCCAACACCATTAATCACTCAACCCCACCATTGAAGATCGGTTTAGATTTGAGCCTTCGTGAGAGAAATGGAGAGAAGAGAGAAGATGAGGAGAGAGTTGACCTTTTATATGGTGAGGAAAAAAGATAGATTTTTTGTTGGTATTAAGGTTCGAAGTCCGGATTTCAGTAAATGGTCTCCTTCCTTCCGCCTGTTTTGTTTTTTGAATGTTTTCAAAAACGTCATTTTAGATGTTTTTGAAAATTAACATTATTTTCAAAACAAATCAGCAAAAAAAAAATGAAAACACTAACTAAATATATTTTTATTTTCATTTGTCCCAAACAAATGAAAACAAAAAAAAAATATGAGATTACCAAACAACACGTTAATAATTTGAATTGGATCTCAAACACCTAACACACCAATTTAATTATTGTTTGAATTTAAATCGAATTAAATTTTTTTATTCAAGTCAAAACTAGAATTCAAAAATATCCATTTAAAAATCGAATTTATTAAATTGTATTCAAGTTCACCCGTAAAAACCACGTAAAAATTGTGAAAGCGACAACCTTAAACTGTTCATATAATTGACAAATTAGTATGCATTGGACTCATGATCTTTACCTTAAACTAGTCCAATTATGCTGACACTATCTATGTATGTATGTATGTCCTTCATGCACCCACCTTTCCGTAGATGTTTGGGGCCCGCCCGTACCACCTCAAAGGCTCGAATGCATCCGTTCAAATAATGAGGGACAACGAACTCGGTGTACCGACATTTCTTGATCCAACGGCTGTCAGTGCAAGTACATGGCACCAAACAATAGTCATAATGGTAAAATTATACTTATGTCCCTTACAATTTGTTCAATTGCAGATGCTAACCTTGTGATTTTTTTCTGAAATTATTATATTGCATTTTTTCCGATTTGGTATTTTGTTTTTGCATTACCTCTTTGTTTGTTATTCTTCATTAGACACCAACAATATTCGTTGAGCAAGCAAATAAAAGAAAATGATTTTTGTTGATATCATCTTTTTTTTTCTTTCACAAATGATTACTAAACACAAACAACACAACCTAAGCTTAGGCTCAAAGTGAAAACAAACAAAACGAAAAATGGATGATATCGTAAAATAAGAAAATCAAATTTCTTCTACCACCCACCATCAATATTATACACACCCATACACTACATCCACCAATTCTCATTCCCTCGTGACACCACCAAATCTAACCCTAGCGTCATTACAAAATCATCAATTAGTGTCATCGCTCACGACTCTAATGTTGTCATTTGAATGTTTTCCACCAAATAATCAGCAAAATTAAGAACCAGAACAATCACAAAATAACATACAAAATGTAGAGACACAACATCGCTTCAAGTACCAATTCTCACCTCCACCTATAATATCATAAACACTACTATCACTATTAAACTTACCAGAATTTAGGAGGTGTTTTTACATTTGGGGTGCAAATCAAGAAAATGGAGGGGGGTCGCTATTCCATAATATTATGATTTTGTATGTGTATGTGAGGGTGGACATTGGTGTAACGGTAAAGTTGTTTCAAGTCGTGAAAATAATCTTTCTATTTACAGGAGTAAAACTGCGTACATCTAATCCCTCTATAGACTTTGCAATGATTGAAGTCTTCTGCACTAGGTACACCTTTATATGTTGGGGTAGAGGGAATTTGGATTTTGGTGTTTCTTGGGAGGGGTTGTGATTGAGTATGTTTTGCAACAATGTTTTTTTTTCTTAAAAAAAGATGGGGTGGGATTTGAATACGACAAGCTTGAGGGTAAAATGATAAAAAAAAAAAAAAAAAAAAAACACCACATCTGCCGTACCAGATGCAATTTTGCAATCTATGCGGTATATTTCGTAATTTTAGTAAATCGTAGGGGGTTGTTTTGATTTATTAATACAAAATTTGCAAAATCATGTTAAAAGCACCGTCTGGGCAAAAAAGCACTTTGGACAAAACGAGCGACGTGGTACTACGAAATGTACAACACACACCGAACGCGTTAACATACGCATACATACCACAAACAAAACAACTTTAAATAATTAAATGCAGATCACGTTCTTCTTACCTTACAACTTCTTACACACCATCAACACATGACATTACATTAAACCCTCGATTCACGTTAAGCCCACGTGCTCTTCACGAGGTTTGTCGACCCTTTTTATCTTACCCTTGGTTTCCTAAATATCTAGAATAATTAATTGTGTAGTCAAACTGATTGAAATCATCTCTATTGTTCTCTGTCTCTCAATTTTATTTAATACTCTATCATTTATGCTCTATTTGATACGATAAAAAAGTGGGAGAATAAAAAATTGGATAGATAAATAAAACAACATATTTTGTAAGGAAGAAAAATAAAAAGAATAAAAAGTTAATTATTTGTATTAAGATGTATCTTATTTGACTGTATATCTTATCTATACATTAATTTCATATAAAAATATAATGGTAAAATATGTATATATATTTTAAAAATTAAAAAAATTTAAATTTTAAACAAAAAAAAAAAAAATTCTATCTTAACTAAGGTGAAAATTTTCAACACAACACGACGACACGACTCAAACTCGATACGAAAAAAAACAAGGTCAACTCGTAACTCGACACGACATAATTAGTTAAATGAGTTAAGTTAGTTTTGACTAATATTTGACATAAATTCGTAATGACTCAACACGAATCTGACACGACACAACTCGACTCAATTGTCACACTTAATCTTAGCCAGCAAAAAAAAATTATTTTTATTTTTCATCCATCCAACTAAACACAAAGGAAGAAAAATGTACTTCCTACTTTTCATCCTTAAAGGATAGAAACTGTATTCTCCCTACTTTCCATTCTTTCTAATTTACATCCTCCCTACCAAACGGATCATTAAAGTTTTTGTACAGCAATTAAAGAAGCTATTAAATAGCTCTAATATGAGTTAAAAATAATTACACAAGACTAAAATACCCTTATTCAATACGTATTGGAAAGGAAATGAATATGAAAGACACTTACCCTCCACCTAATCTAATGCATTGAAAAGTTAAGGGTAAATTTGAAAAAATAAATATTAATTATGCTTTAGTTTCATTAAACGACAGATATTATTAAAGAAAAAAAATTGTGTAAAATGATAGATATTTAGGAACGAAGGGAGCTGTAAATTATATATTGTGTATGAATGAGAGGTTTTCTAGCAAAGAGTAGTGTTACATAAACTTAAAAGTAGACTTGATAATTATAATCATTGAATAAGTAGTGAGTCTCTATAAATGCTAGGACTCACAGTGAAATCAATTGTTATAATTATTAAGTTTAATTTTTAAGTTCATATAACATTACTCACTAACAAATGATAGCTCATTTATAAATTAATGATAAATAATCTTTATTTATCGTGTATGAACGAGAGTTCACTAGTAAATAATAATTCTCATGTATATTAATGGTGAATGATTTATTATTTACGTCAAGTGATAATAAAAATGAACTATAAATTCAGACGTCCTAAGTTTGAATTTTGATAATTTTTATATTATGAAAAATTTATTTCTTATGAATATCACAGTCCCTATATAAATAACTTATTTTTAATCGAATCGAAAAAAAAAAAAATAGTCAAGTTAGGCGTTAAGTGATTTAAACATTCTTAGTCATTTAATTAAAAAATAATAATTTTGAAAAGTTAACCACGTGGCAAAAGCTACTGTGCTAAAACGTGTTATCTTTTGGGAGAGAGTTATCAGTGCCCCACTAAAAGCGTGACCCCACAAGCTGGCCAGCTTGATGAATTTTTTTATGCAGCCAAGACAGCAACCCTCCCGTGAGCATTTACGCGTGGGAAAACTCGAACAATACACGTTATAGATATTTAATATGAAAAGCATTTTCGAAATAATTATGAAATTTTATAATTTCTTTTACTTTGTTGTGAAAGGATATGTACCCCATTCAATTGTTTTTATAAATAAAGAGATTATATATATATATATATATATTTTAAAGGTTATTCATGTAGATATAATACGATTATTGATCAAATTAGAGAATGTCAAATCATCTAATAGGAGCAATTAATCAAATCATATTTAAATAAAGATGTAATAAAATTAATTAATCATCCCAAAAAAATATTCAGACAAGTCTTTATTGCATGCAGTTGAATATTATTTGGCATGAATATAAATGATATACAAATTATTGGTAAAAATAAAATTAGTGAAAACTTGAACTAATCCTGCTGCCAAACAAGCTTTTACTAATACAATCAGTCTAATCACACGCACAAAAAGCTTTGCTACTAAAATACCAACCACACAAGATTGTTGCCGACTACTGCTCAACCCCACTAACCCATAAACCTCTCTTCTTTAACTTGACCATGGCTACGTTTTAACCTGACCACGGTTATATTTTTACCCCACTTCAAACTCAAGGCCTCTAACTACAGTGTGTATACACGCGGTTGGGATTTAGAAAGCAGAACGAACGCCACACCCCCTCATTCTATCTCTCTCTCTTCTCGTTGTTGTCTCTCAGATATCCGATCTTTTGTTTTGCCGGAGTAGATGTTTTCCAATTGAACTGTCACTGTCCCGGAATATTTTCATTGCAAAGAGGTTGCTTTTTGCTTGCCAACCTCCTATACTGGTTTGTATGTTTATTGTTTGTATTTTGCCGTTGTATACACACATTTAAGTTTGAATTTTTCTGGTTTTTTTGGCTTATAGCTTAGATTTAGAGCTGTTGAGATCTGACACTTGAGGTATGACTAAATGGATATTGAAAATGATGACTTGTAGTGTAGAAGCTACGATGTGTTTGTTGTGGTTTAGCTTGCACATGTTTTGACTATTTTTTCATTTTAGTTAGCGGGCAGAGACTGGGTTCTTTCATTGCTTTGGGGGTATATTCAGACTGGGTATTGAAATTTTGATTCTTTTTCTTCGTGGTTTTAGAGATGAAATTTGAAGTGGGTAATGGGGGTTTGGGGTGGAATGATGAAGACAAGGCCATGGTTGCGGCAGTTTTGGGCTCTAGGGCTTTAGATTACTTGATTTCGAGCTCGGTTGTAGCCGAATGCTTGCTTATGGCAATGGGGAATGATGAGAATTTGCAGAATAAGCTATCAGATCTTGTGGACAACCCAAACGCGGTCAATTTTAGTTGGAATTATGCGATTTTTTGGCAAATTTCCCGCTCGAGATCCGGTGATTTGGTTCTAGGATGGGGAGATGGGTCTTGTAGAGAGCCAAAGGAGGGAGAGGAGACGGAAGTGACTCGAATACTCAATCTTCGACTCGAAGATGAGACCCAACAGAGGATGAGGAAAAGGGTACTTCATAAACTGCAAACCAAATTTGGGGGATCAGATGAGGATAGTTTTGCTTTTGGACTAGATAGGGTCACAGATACTGAAATGTTCTTTCTTGCATCGATGTATTTTTCCTTCCCTCGGGGTGAAGGCGGCCCCGGAAAGTGTTTTGCATCTGGGAAGCATATGTGGCTCTCGGATGCTTTGAAGTCATCAGCTGATTACTGCGTCAGATCATTTCTGGCAAAGTCTGCTGGTATTCAAACTATTGTTCTGATCCCAACTGATATTGGAGTTGTTGAATTGGGATCAGTGAGATCCATACCTGAGAGCTTAGATCTGATGCAGTCATTGAGATCATCATTTTCAGCGTTTTCATCGCACATCCAGGCCAAGCCAATGGTAACCTTGCCAGTGATAACCGACAAGAAAGATGGAAATGCAGATTTCTCAAGTCTGGGTATTTGCGAGCGACCAAATGGAAGTCCAAAGATTTTCGGGCAGAATTTGAACTCTAGTCGTCCCCAATTTAGGGAAAAACTTGCTGTTAGGAAGCCAGATGAGAGGTCATGGGAAGTGCATTCAAATGGGAACAGGCTTCCATTAACAAACACTCGAAATGGTCTTTATGGTTTAAATTGGGCACAGTTCAATAATGGAAAGAAGGGGGGCGCGGTAGAGATTTACAGTCCTCAGACCCCTTCAAACAATCTACACGAACCCATAAATGGGGTTAGGGATGAATTCCGGCTTAACAATTTTCAGCCTCAAAGGCCAGCACAAATGCAGATTGATTTTACAGGGGCCACTTCCAGGCCTATCATTGCCCTTGGGGTTGAGTCTGAGCATTCAGATGTTGAGGCTTCTTGCAAAGAAGGCCGAACAGGCCTGCCCGATGAGAAGAGGCCTCGGAAGCGTGGCCGAAAGCCTGCTAATGGAAGAGAAGAGCCCCTCAATCATGTGGAGGCAGAGAGGCAGCGGCGAGAAAAGTTGAACCAACGGTTCTATGCATTGAGAGCTGTTGTGCCAAATATTTCAAAGATGGACAAAGCCTCACTGTTGGGAGATGCGATTGCTTACATCACTGATCTTCAGAAGAAGCTCAAGGACATGGAATCAGAGAGGGAAAGGCTCGGATGCACTTCAAAAGATGCATTGGATTTGGAAGCTAAATCAAATCCTGAAAGTCAAAGCCATGTTCCAGATATCGAAATTCAAGCGGTTCATGATGAACTTGTAGTAAGAGTGAGCTGCCCATTGGATGCTCATCCCATATCAAGAGTCATCCAAGCTTTCAACGAGGCACAGATCAATATTGTTGAGTCCAAACTTGGTGCAGGGAATGACACAGTGTTTCACACATTTGTCATCAAGTCTCAAGAATCAGAGCAAGTGACGAAGGAAAAGTTGATGGCGGCATTTTCCCGTGAATCCAACTCCTAGTGGCCATTGTCATCAGTTGGGTAATCAGACAAGTTATATTAACATTAGTTGGTAGGAATAATTTGTAGTGAAGATCCGATTCAAAAGGCTTATGCAAAGGTTTTGATATACAGCAGTGCTGATAGAAGTAGAAAAATAATTTCCTATTAACCAAGTAGGACAGTAAATCTTTGGTTTTTGTTAATAGTACAGGTATTCTGCCACAAGAAAGTAGTCTAGCAAGATCTATTAAATTTGTAATTTAGCTGGCTGTAGTATTATTGCTTGTTTAGAACCTGTTTTATTTTTATGATATTATAAAGTAACAGAGATATATATTTATTCTTCCCTGCAATCTCTCTATCATTGCATGGATCTTTATCATTCTATTGCTATGTTTAGCATTTGATGGATTATTGAAAGGCTTGTGGCATGATTATTGGTGAGCAAATAGCTGTTGGACTCTTTTTAAGTTTGGTGGTTTCCTTCATCTCTTCCCCCGCTAGTGTTGTATACAACGTTGCCTGTTCTAAGTCAAAATAAAAAAGGAAGGTTGCATTAGGGAGGCTACAGCCAGCATAAAACTTTAGGGATCTATTACGATGAGTCCAAATAGTGATATATATGGCGAAGATGGATTCATATAGTCAACTGTAAATGATTGAGATATAAGATTTGATAGCGTGGTAGACTTGCTGGTGAGCATTGAGAATCGTGTGGGGTTGAACAAACGAGTTGGAGCCCACAGATTCAATAGCTTTTCTCGTGGAATGAACATGATCTTTCTCGTTTTTTGGCAACAGAGAATCGTTCCGAATTTCTAATCACATGTTTTTTTAGATTCATTGTTATAACAGGAATTTTGGATGTATGCCTTTGCTATCAAATCGATTGTATCGATAAACTCAAATTTTATGCGGCCACGAAGAGATAAGAGAGAAAGATGGTTTTTTTTAATGAACATTATCTTCATCTTGGTTTTTTTTAATGGACATTATCTTCGTCTCATAACACGACAGCAAAAAATGCAGCCAGTTGCAAGGTAGACGCCAATAGAGTTCTATGCCATATCTTTCGATTGATACACTTGAAGAACAAGTGTGGGTAAATGCTGAAACATGTGACCAAACTAGACACCAGAGTGGGTAAATGCTGAAGCATGTGACCAAACTAGAGACCAAGTCTTCAAGTGCTTTTGCTTTAGCTTTTGTGCCCATAACTCATTCCACCCTTTCTCAATCATTCCATGTTTGGCTTAGCATGTTTGTTTGTTTTTTTTTTTTTTTTTGAATCTTATTTATTTGTAGTCAGAAAAGAAATGAGATAACCACTAGAGTTTGTGTTTTACTGACAAGTCGTACCTATTTAAAGTCATCCTTAATTTTTATGTAATTATAAAGTAAGGTTCGATTCATTAACTTAATTTTGGCGGTACTGTGGTAATGAATTATGTGGATGCAAGATCCTACACAATATAAATACTAGAACAGATCTCTTCCGTGGTGAACAAGTGTCCGAAATTGGGTGGTTGGTCTTGCTAGTTGAACAGGTTGTGAGGGTCGAAGGTGGATAATCAATCGTTGGTATGAGTCGCCTGAGTGATCCTGGAAAACTAAAGGAGGTTCCTGGAACAAAGAAAAACAAGTTAGAAGGGTGCCGGAATATTTTCCAGCGTATCCCCTCCGACGGTCAAGTCAGTTCTTTGAGAGAGGGGAAAAAGAAAACACTGTATGATGGTTGAGAGAGTGTTCGTTGCGTACCCTTTTTCTGTGTTTGTGAGAACTATTTATACCTTAAAAATTCATCATTACTGACAACGTAGCTAGTAGGTAATCATTGGGGGTGGATAGCGTACACACCAATTTCTATGAGTAATGATTTTATTCTTTATTGCTCGGGACCCCGAACAATTAATGTTTTCTCCTCAGTCTGTCGAACGTTTAATGATCTTCTCTCGGCGGAGGTGTATTAAATGCCCAGACTTTGAGACATTTATTATCTTTTACTTCTGAGCTCTATTGCATTAAATGTTGTCTCATTGAGGAAAAAGTGCATTAAATATTTGATTTCCCAAGTCGTGTATCAGCAAAGGCATTCTGGTCTTTTTGTCTCTAATCTGACACAATACGTCACGTGCCTATTCCCCTTTGGTTGAGCCTTCTGCTTTTTTGTACCTCCTGACACCATTTGAGTAAGACGAGGTCATGATGGCTAGTCTAGCCTTGTCTAGGCTAGTTATCTGTCCATCAATAACCCCTGCAGGTGCAGAAACGCCGATACAATAGATACCCCTCGATGTCGAGGGACTAGCATGATTTAGGACTAATATACCCAAAACTGTCGAGGAATACGTGTCGATTCATGGTGGTTTGGGAGTCCTTGATCCCTGTGAATAGTATCCTCAGGACAAGGGGTTAAAAAACCATGAAGACGTGTCAGTATTATAGCAGATGTTTTCATTGACGCTGAGTACACGTGTCATTTAAGAATGTCTGAAAATTACCATCAAATTGCTCCCCTATGTTAGTAATTATGATTCAAATTGAACGTTTTGTAACGAAAGACTCTCGTGATCAGGCTCAATGAAATACTTCTTACTAATCTTCCTTCTTTTTTATTTAAAAAAAGAAAAGAAATGAAGTGAGAGGACAACTTGGTGAGACATGTGGCGGTGGTGGTGGGTTTGGTACACAAGAGCCAAACCAGAGCATGTGGTGGTCAAAGTCAGAAACTCCAGAACAAAAAACAGAGGGACCCACTTAATAAATGGAGCGAAGAAAATTGAGAACCTGCTATTTGCATGATCCTTACAGGTACCATTACTTGGTTGGCAACTTAAACGAGGAACATATTCATTAATTTTAATGTCATGCATGTACCACATGATGACATTCAGTATCTCTTACCATTCTGAGTGCCTTATAAGAGGACTGGAGGAGGAGTGTTCAATAGATTTAAGACTTTTTCCAAAACTCATCTGAACAGGACCACCAAACCTAACCTAACCTGAAAATGGGGTTTGGTAAACACGTCTTCAAGGATCATGAATTAAAAAAGAATATCTTACAACAAATGACAAGCACTAAGCAATGAAGCACAATTTTTACTGAAAAAAATCTCTAAAGTTTCAATACTTTTTATAAGTATATTCTGTTTTTAACCCCAAAAAATAAAAACACCTTAAAAGTTTCTGATTCTGCCGGTTGGTCCAAGTTAGGCTTATAGGGTCTACCACTTTTGGAATATTATACTGGCCTACCAATGTTGATATTAATCAATTGATAATATTAAGCTGACTTAAAAATAGAACATAAAATGGAGATTAAACGATGTGATAATGATATAGTAAATTTTTTTTTATCCCATTTCACTCATTTAAAGTTATAGTGTTGCTTATTGATAAACGAGAAAAAGACACGTGTTTGAAATGCCGACCTCAATAGCTCGGATTAGCTCTAACTCGGTTGGTAATCATGCCCCCAGCCTCTGAAATTCAGCATAGTCCTAACCTCCAAAGACTTTGACTAGTTCAACTCAACTACCGCTTCCAGTTAACCCTGCAAGACTGAGTCAAGCTAGTGGTGATGTAGAATACAGTGTAGTAAAATAATTTCAAATAGTAGAAAAGTAATAAATGAAAATTAAAAAAAATAAATCGTTACGTAAGACACGACACTCGCCATCTTCGAGATAGTAATTTTTAACTTATAATACAGATAGACTCTTGAAAATTCTATCTCAGATACAATGCTAACTTTAAGATTATCAAATATTGTATTTCTTAATAATACTGGAATCAAACACTTAATTGAATATAGAAAATTAAAAAATATAAAAGCTTTGAATCAAGGAGAAGCAGAAGAATCAATTTGTTAATGCTTTTTTCTTGCACTTCAACCCTATTTATAATGTTTTATGCATCCCTAAATGAAGGAGTGTAATCTTTCATAACCATGGCAGAAGACACTCCTTGAAAGAGATGCAAAAATATATCTGTTAGAGACTAATCTCAAACAGAAAACCTGTCACATTCGAACGAGCTTATCACCTTCGAACTGACTCAACTCTCAATATCTCGATTCGAAGACGTTTTGAGATTTTTGTCAAAGTACTGAAAGCAAGTCACGTTTGAACGTGATTAGTGTTTGATCAAATTGAAGTTTGAGTACATCAATTTTTGTTAGAAATCGAGATTCTAAAAAAATACTGGGATTTAGGCTTGTTCGAATGTCGCCACCCTCTTTTCTTTTTATTTCTCCTTCTTCTTCTTCTTCTATATGTATTATATATATTATACATATACAAAATTATAACTTGAAGTTCCCATTATGTAGACTTCCTCTTGAAGAGAATTCCTTGAAACATTGAGTGACAAATAAAATTCTTCCTCTATTCTTCCCAAGAATCAATGTGGGATTGTTGTATTTACCCTCCATCTCACATACTCCGTGAATTTTATTTTTCCACTAATCTCAATTTACAAGTACTTTATGTATATTATATCTATACTCTTGTATATGTATTCAATGTTTATGTCAATACAAATGCAAATGATGTTCTATTAATTAATATATCACTAGTGTGTGTGTGTGTGTGTGTGTATATTATTTATTTATTTGTATATATAACAAGTGGAGCACAACAGATTTAATTCAAATAAGCGGAGTAAGATCTGCTTCTAAACAAATGGCCTATAAGAGGGGAACCTACGAAGGAGATTGAGGTGAGTGACTCAAACGCTAACACAAGCATTTTCTAATTCATAAAATATTCTTTTTTGACTTTATCAGTAGAGGGTCGTTTCTTAGAGTCCTTCTGATCTCTAACTTGCCTTTGCAGGTATCCTGGAAGACGGATCTAGCTCTCAAGAACATTTAGAACTTGGTGAACATTTTGAACCATCATCACTTACCATATTAGCACATTTTTATTTTCTCTCGGCTGTCAGTCTCATTTTTAAGACACACTAGTATTACCTGTGTGAAATATATTTGTTGAATACATGCAAAGTTGATTGGTCAAAAGTAATAAAAACAATATAGGAGTCAACACGCGTTTGTTTAGAAAATTCATCACCTAATCGATACTTTACATCAATTTTGTGGGCATCGTAGTAAATTATAACATTGGGGACTCGCCTGAAACCAGAAGGGTCGGTTTGTTGCCACTTCATTGTCTTAGTTTCCCTGCATCAGACACAATAATTTTGAGTGTGATTTTGGTCAATCCTACCGCTAAGGTGTCACGAAATGACCGGAACAATAATTACTAATCTCTTTCCAACATCTTGTTTCTTATTCTTCTCTCACTATTTTATTGGACAAGTTATTGATAATGATATTTTATCGGAACAACCTGACCTGTCTATACGAGGAGATAGGATTATGTATATTTGACTTTTCTCTGTGTGAAAGTATCTCATGATAATTTCTAATGTCTGGTTAACTATTTATGTAATTCATCAAGTCCTTGAAACCATGTTACAAATCATAAAATCTAGCAACAACACTAGACCTTCAATTCAATTAACAAAGAGAATTGGTGTTCAGGACAAAACTTCACAAAAACAGACCACCAGATTCAAACCCCTTTTTTCTTAACCAGCTTCAAAACACCCTGATACAAGAAATGACAAACAGTTGGAATCAGGTTAATCCTCTCATCATTTACAAGTGATTCACAGGAAACTCCTGTTTGGCGGAATGTCCCTTTCGGGACACTATTGAATATTGGTCATTATATACACTACTTCATAATAGGGTAACTTTTCCGACAACAGCAGCAACAAGGATCAATCAACTACTCTATATTTCCTTCGACCCTGTTAACCTCTGTAATGGCAGGTACATCACCATTATCCTCATCCTTGCTCTTCTTAGTGGCATGAACCTTCCTATTATGGTGACAGTATCTGGAAATGTGCCCCTCCTTTCCACAAGTGTAGCAGAGCTTCTTCATTTCTCTCTTTCTCGGTCCAAGTTTATTTTCGAGCCTTGCCTCTACCACGTTTGCATTCTTAGAGGGATTTTCTTTCTTGCAGCGATTGCGAGATTCTTCCTCGACCCTTAGGCGACATATCAACGTGTGAAGAGGTAGGACCTCCTCGAGCAGTAACTTCGTGCGATAATCCTTCCAAGATGGAGGAAGCTTGGAAATGATAACGCTAACATGAAAATTCTCATCAATGCACATTCCAGAAGCAATAATAGAATCTGCAATCTTGTGAAGTTCTTGAACCTGCTCAAGAATTGATATCCCATCAACCATCTGAAATTGAATATATTTATTGACTTGAGATCTTTTTGTTCCAAAATCCTCATTGTAAACTAATTTAAGTTCTTCCCAAAGCTCTCTAGAACTGCAAGTCTTCTTCGAGTACTGATCAAACAGGTGGTCAGATAGAGAGTTCAGGATGTTGTGATGGCAAATGTAGTCATCATCTTTCCACTTTTGTGCAGAAGCTCGGGCTTCAACAATTTCTTCAATGCTCGCTTCCTGGCTGAGGGAATTGCTTGGGCATGGCTCAGTGAGCACATATGCAATTTTCAACTGCTTTAGGAAAAATTCTATCTGATGCATCCAACAATGGTAATTTCGCCCATTCAGGCGGATGGTCTCAATAGGAATGAGCCTTTGAGGAGAAGCAGCAGTCATTGATGAATTATGTTGATTGTGTCCTTTAAGAGAAAAATCAGTTGCTGAATCAGACATATCTACTTCAACTTGCTTTCTATCAGTGGGTATATTTCCATGAGGAGTAACAGAATCAGGCATATCTGCATGAGTTTCATTTCTTTCAACAGGGAGGAGTCCCTGAGGAGCCAAGCAGTTGACTGCATCAGATATATCTCCCTCAATTGGTTTTCCAACATCTTCGGATCTACAATTTGTTGATTGGCAGTCCAAGTCAATCAATTAGTGGACTACATGCTTTTTAGCCAAACATGAATAAATGGGTTAGTGGGAACAAAGAAATGAAAAGGTTAAACATGTGACTAGTAACCCTACATGCATTCAAAGTGCAACACTCTCTACATCACAATTTTCATTTCCCAATATCAGGGGAATGAAATCAGTTCAGGATTTTTCAATGGGAACATAGTAGTCTCACCTTTTTCGTGATTCCATCTTTGCAACAGCTTCATCTATAGCATGTAAACTATTCCTAAAAACTGACCATTGTTTAGCAGTCAAGCTAATTCCTGAATGTACAGCAGAAGCACAAAGTTATCAGTATCGATAAAACAAGTGCCTCGGAAAATGGAAGAGACTGCAATGAACCCAAAGAAGCTGCTATTTGATACAAGCTGATGAAGAAACAAACGAGTATACTAGCATAATAGCAGTGAGCCTCAAACCTTTTGAGCATATCTAACTCAAAATAACAAATACAGAGATGGAGGACCATTGAAGGGATGGATAATGGCTGGCATGTGCATCACTCACTCAGTCTAGGAAGGGTTTAAGCCCTTGTGGTTACAATTTGAACATCATTTCCAGAGAAATTGCAATCCCATTTATACTTATTTTATAGGAAAATCACCCCCTACTTTGTTTTAAGTTGTAGATGAGGTTTCTCCTTGCTGGCAACAGTTACTGACCCACGAAAAAGCCAATCTCCTTGACTTTGTAGGTAAAGATTCCTATCCTATCATATTTCTCTCTTTGCTTCCAGCTTTCTCTCTTCTTTTCTCTCCATGTCCAAAGTCTATCTCTGTAAATCTATGCCAAATGAAAAAGAATGCATCTGACTCCAAACACCCCAAAAGGTACTAGAGACACATCTTTGGAAGAAGTCAGAGCAGTTCAATTGTTGGGACTTGGGAGAATGCATCCCTAACCTGAGATCGCCAAAAGTATCAACAAATCACAGTACTGCTGGCTTAATTTTCTTGTAATTATTTTGAATTCAGTCAGTACGTACTTTTAGACCATTCAGACCACTTCTAGCTCCTGATAGGTTAGTTCATTTAAAGTCCATCAGACTCGGCAAAAAGTCGATAAATCCCAGGCACTACTTCAGGATCTCCAAAAGGTTTACATGGGGGTCAGATGGGCTATTTCGATAGTCACCTTAGTGTTAAATCCCAAAAAACCCAAGTTGACATGCAGATTGTTTCTACAAGTACAAAGGTTAAGGAAAATCATTGAGAAAAACTGGACTCAACGAAGTTTTAATTTTAAATTGCAGATGATCTCTATAAAACCATAAAATCAAGAAAAAGTAGAAATATACATGATGGCAAAACATGATAGATAATAAAAACGTTAATTATCACCTCTGGCTGTAGGAAAACGTTTTCCATCTTTTAGGTAGTAGTCCCTAATTGACACCAATTTTTGCCATTTATAGTCTTGAATTGCCAACATCCTCTTGTTTGATAGCTATGAACAAATAAGACAGCAATGCTTACAATAAGAACACTGAGAGTATTGACTCTAAACATAATTAAAAACTCATCGAAAGAGTTAAGCATTCCACACTGCTACTATAACTCTCAAACCAAAAGAGGTATACACTCAAGGGTATTTACTTAGAAAAATCTCCAGTCTTGCTCAATAAAGTACATGCATCTTGATTGAACATGTTTCTCCACTTCAATGCTCTTAGTGTGCTGTTGTTAGTTGGTTGTTTTTACTTGGAATAAACGTAAGTGAAAAGGGATACTCAAATTAAGAGTAGAGCCCCGTATATATATCCAAAAATAATACAGAGTGACTTAAACATCCTTGTAGTTTAGTCAAATATAAAAATCTTAGTAAGGGTAAAAAAGGGAAAAGAAATCCTAATAAACCTAGACTATCTATACTCCAACACTCCCCCTCAAGCTAGGCGCAAAAATGTCAACTAAGTCTAGCTTGACAACAGAGTCCCGAAGAATAGACAGAGTGACAGGTTTGGTAAAAACATCTGCAACTTGATCACTGGTCCCCACAAACGATGGAGTAACAAGACCACTGCTGACCTTCTCCCGAAGAAAGTGAACATCGATCTCTATATGCTTCGTTCTCTTATGTAGTACAGAGTCAGAAGTGAGCTGAATAGCAGATTGATTATCACAATATAATGTGGATGGAGAGGTCACTGAAAAACCCAACTCGTCAAGAATCGATCGTAGCCAGATAATCTCACATGTGCCAAGTGCCAATGCCCGATACTCTGCCTCTGCGGACGAGCGGGAGACAACTGCCTGCTTCTTGCTCTTCCAAGAGATAAGATGAGTCCCTCGAAAAGCACAGAAACCCATAGTAGATCGACCATCACATGCTCCCCCATAATCTGAATCTGAATAACAGGCTAGAGAACCGGTCTGAGATCCTGATGCATAAAACAACCCAAGTCCAGGACAAGACTTGAGGTACCGAAGAATATGATAAACTGCATCAAGATGAGGCTGACATGGCCTATGCATGAACTGACTAACTCGGCTGACTGCGAATGAAATGTTCGGCCTAGTATTGGTTAAATAGACAAGTCTACCTACCAATCTTTGATAAACTGTCGGATCTTTCAACTCCTCACCTTCAGCAGTAAGCTTCAGGTTTGGAATCATAGGTGATAATGCCGGTTTGCACCCCAACATCCCAGTGTCTGAAAGAAGATCCAAAACATACTTTCTCTGAAAAAGAACAATACCTCTGCTTCTACGGGCAACCTCAATCTCAAGAAAGTATCGCAGAAATCCAAGATCCTTCACATCGAAGGCCTTCCCAAGGTCTATCTTGACCTGCGCAGTCCCAGAAACATCATCACCAGTAATAATAATATCATCAACATATACCAGAAGGATGACACACTGTCCAGAAGTATTCCGTCGAATAAAGCAGGTATGATCAGAATGACACCTGGCGAACCCCAATCGTATGACTACATCACTGAAGCGAGAGAACCAGGCTCGTGGCGACTGTTTCAGTCCATAAAGAGACTTACGCAGTCGACATACCTTTCCAGCATACTCCCCCTCACCACGAAAGCCCGGTGGTGCATCCATATAAATAATCTCGTCCAGATCACCGTGAAGAAACGCATTCTTCACATCTAATTGATGAAGAGGCCAAAAGTACTCCGCAGCCAGAGAAATAATTAACCGAACAGTAGTCAATTTTGCCACGGGGGCAAATGTAGCACCAAAATCACGACCTAGTACCTGAGTAAAGCCTTTCGCCACAAGTCTAGCCTTGTAAACGATCAATAGTACCATCTGCCAGAAACTTCAGGGTGTAAACCCAGCGACAGCCAACAGGCTTCACCCCTGAAGGTAAGGAGACAAGATCCCATGTATGATTACGCTGAAGAGCGTCCATCTCTGTCTGCATGGCAAGAACCCACTGGGGCTCCCGCATAGCTTCCGAAATAGAGCGAGGAACCAGCGTATCTGATAAGGCCATAGTATAAGCTCGAAATGTGGGAGACAGATTACCATAAGAAACATAAGCAGAGATCGGATATAAAATCTTGGCGGTCCAACCATATCGATCAACTGGACGGCGATCACGCCTTGGATAACGACGCCCTAAATCACCATCCTCTACTGATAATATCTTATCAGGTAAAGTAACTGGCTCAGCACCTGTAATCTCATCAGTACTAACAACAGGTGCATCAATATGCTCAACAAACTGAGAAGTATTACCTGCATCGCCTGAAGTAGAGGGGATATCAACAGGGTGATGAGAGCGAGGACAACGAGCATACACCTGCAAAGGAAGAGAGACTGGTAACTCTGTACTGACAGGGATGAGTGACTCCTTTGGAGGAAAAACGGATGACCCTGTAGGGATAGTGATCAATGACTCTGACTCTTGTGGTAATGAAAAATCAAATGGAGTATCATCAACTGGAGGGGCAGACAAAGGACTGAAAGGAAAATAAGGAATATGCTCAAGAAAGGTAACATCTAGACTGTGATACATACGACGCCTAATAGGATCATAACATCGATACCCCTTAGATTGATGACAATAGCCCACAAAGATACAACGAATCGCTTTATCATCAAGTTTATAACGAGTAGGAGACCGATCCTGAACAAAACATGTGCATCCAAAAACACGAGGGGGGACCGGAAAAAGTGTCCGCTCAGGAAATAAGACCTGTAAGGGAGCCTTATGCTGAAGAACACGACTCGGCGTACGATTGCACAGAAAGGTAGAAGTCAAAACAGCAAAATGCCAATAAGATTTTGGTACCCTCATGCCTCTAAGCAGACAACGTACCATCCCTATCAAACTCCTATTTTTCCTCTCAGCAACACCATTTTGCTCAGGAGTATATGGACAAGTGAGTTGCTGAAGGATACCCTGAGAAGAAAGGTGAGACACTAAAGCATCAGACACATATTCTTTGGCATTATCCGAACGAAGAGCACGAACAATGACATCGAATTGTGTCTTAATCATCTGTAAAAACTGAGTGATTATAAGGAGCACATCAGACTCCCTATGCAAAAGGTAGACCCAAGTACAACGGGTATGATCATCTATAAATGTCACATAATATCTGGCACCTGACAGAGCAGTAACGGGAGAGGGTCCCCAAATATCAGAGTGTATTAGGTCAAATGGCTTGGGTGACTGGTGCATGCGAGGAATATAATTGGCCCTAACATGTTTTGATAAGGAACAGATAACGCAATCAAGTTTACCACCAACACAAGCATTACTCAAAGCTGGAAACAACAACATACATAAATATTTAAAATTTGTATGTCCAAAACGGTCATGCCACAATTGAACAGTTTGTGACGAAAAATCATAACGACAACTACTAGGTAAAATACTAGCATGCAAGCTAGGAACAGAAAAAGACAAAGCAGGTGCAGGTGAAGGAATTGGTGAAACTGGAGATGGATTGCCAAGATAATACAGTCCATCTTTCTCATGTCCCTTGATAATAATCCTCCTGGTACTCAAGTCCTGCAAATAACATGAATCAGATAAGAATACAACCGCACAGTGAAAATCTCTGGCTAACTGATGTACAGATAATAGATTCATGGCCAACTTTGGCGCATGAAAAACCGAATGTAATGTAAGGCCATCTGGGAGACGGACTGTACCCCTACTAACAATAGGGGCATGTGTTCCATCTGCTAACTGAACCTGTGTATGTAACGGCTCGTCAAAAGTGGTGAAGTGATGGGCCTCACCTGTCATGTGACCATTCGCACCCGAGTCCAACATCCAAAGGGGAGATGAACTGGCACAAGCGTGAAAGGCACGAGATATACCTGTAGTGGTGACAGCAGTAGTAGTCAGACTCTGAGAAGTCAGAGCAGACATAAGTATATCTAATCGGGAAGTGATAGCATCCATATCACTTTGCCAAGGAGGAGCAGTAGCAGGAGTGGCGGTAGTGGGCGGTGGTACCTCAGCAATAGCAACAGTACGGCTGCGAGAAGGTGGCTTAAGCTCTGGATGGAGCTTCCAGCAAGTAGCCCTGAGATGTCCTGGTCGGCCACAATAATCACATTGACGGGAATCCCCCCGTCTGCGCTGATCTGGGGCGCCCTGACGGCGCTGGTCTGAGCGTTGCCCATCCCTGACTAAGGATCCTGAACGGGACCCTACAGCAGCTGCAAGGGCCATCTGGTCAATCGAAGGAGTCAAAGCTGCAACTGGAAGTGATGCAATACAGACTCGACGCTCATGCTGCTCAATCATCCCATACACCTCATAAAGAGAAGGAAGTGTCAACATCGACAAGATCTGAGAACGAGGTCCCTCAAACTCATCACGAAGCCCCATAAGGAACTTGTGAATCCTATCCTCCTGCTCTCGAGTATGCAAGAATGCTGCTCCCTCGGGCTCTATCTTCGGAATAACAGCAAGAGGACGTAGAGACTCATACTCAAGCCAGCGCTGGGTCAAATAGCCATAATAATCCTGAACGGTCATATTTCCCTGCCGAGCATATGAGAGCTCCTGAGAAAGCTCATAAACACGAACTCCCCGTCCTGACTGAGAATACATCTCTGATAATGCGCTCCATAGCTTCGGAACAGAGCTATGAAACTGGTGGATCCTGCAAACAGAGGGCTCCATTGAGCCAAATAACCATCTAAGAATGGCACAGTTTTCAGAGAACCACGCAGAATATCCAGGGTCGGCATCAGCTGGCTTTGGGTGAGATCCAGTCAGCCAACCAAGCTTCCCTACACGGCCTAAGAAAAGCTGGAATGAGCGTGACCACTCAGCGAAGTTACGACCATTCAACAATTGTGCCGTAACTTTTTGAGAGATCATGCCCGGTAATGCTGGTAATGCAACTGTGCTAGTAGGCACTGTATACTGGTCAAACATAAAAGTGGAAGTACCCATAGATGTCTCAACGGTAGAGGTGTCAACAGTAGGGTTCTCAAGTCCCTCAGTAGTAGCCATATCAACAACAATACTAGGGCACCCGTGACAGGAAAATAACTCTAAGATAAATAGAAGAATAAAATAAGGGAGAACAATATACCTTCAGTCGAACAGTAGCGACAAATAAGGAAGGTCCAAAAAGCTCCCAAATAATCAAGTCATGGTGCCCAGAAATCCAATAAATATAAATGATTTACTGCATCAAAAACAGATAAAAGGAGAAGAGGATCCGCTCCCTCCTAAAAAAGTCCTAGATACTGCAATCTGGCAGCACTATGACGAAGTGTGCGAAGGACCAAGCTACAACAAAAAAGCAACCCAGCAGTGGGCTGATGAACAGTGACCCAATCTTACTTGGTTTGTTGGTTTGTGACGGCTAATAATATTGGTTGTCACGGTGCTTAGCTGTATTGGTTTTTGGGTTTGATTGTGGGTTGGTTTGATGGAGGCAGTCGGTGTGGACAGGTTGGTCAGTTGGTTTGTGGTTGCTGGTTTTGCTGTGTAGGCAGTCGGTGCTTTACGGAGGCAGTCGGTGCAGTGGGTGCGACAAGTGGGTTTGTGGATGTCGGTGTGATTTTGTTGGAGTGTTGCGGCTAGGGGCTGGAAGGCTGGGAGGCTTAGCTGTATGGGGCTTGTGTTTTCGCTGGGCAGCAGGTTGTCGGTGGAGTTTCGCTGGTTTTGGTTCAGCGTTTTTCTATTTCGTTGGTTTTGGTTCGCTGGTATGGAGTCGGTGGATGTTTCTGGTTTTGATTTCAGTCGGTGGATTTGGTTTCAGTCGGTGGATGGACAGTCACGCATGGGGTTGGTGGACAGGCAGTGGGTTGCTAGGTTTGCTTGAAGGCAGTTTGCCGGTGAGGCAATCTCGGTGGAGGCTAGGTTAGGGAGAAGGTTAGGGTTTGAGGTAGGGTTAGTGTATGGCTCTGATACCAACTTGGAATAAACGTAAGTGAAAAGGGATACTCAAATTAAGAGTAGAGCCCCGTATATATATCCAAAAATAATACAGAGTGATTTAAACATCCTTGTAGTTTAGGCAAATATAAAAATCTTAGTAAGGGTAAAAAAGGGAAAAGAAATCCTAATAAACCTAGACTATCTATACTCCAACATTTTTAAAATGGAGTCAAATAAAGTGATAAAATTTGAACTGAATACAAATGTTAATTTTGCCTTCAACAATATAGAGATGCTTACATCAAGAATATTTAATTGCAATTTTTTTCCCAATAACCAAACAAAGCACTTGGGTTTTTCTTCCTTTTCTCCCCATGTAACTGCAAATTGCATTTTTTATCTAGAAGTAAACAATAAAACCAATAAATCATAATTCTCATGAATAACATTGATGAGTCCCAACAAGATAACCAAGAGAACCAACTTTCTTGAGCTAAACATAGCCATAAACATAATCAACAGATTACTCAATTCTTTATCTTTGCCTTTCTTTAAGTAGATTTGATTTTAGGGTTTAGTCACTTTTGAACTGACCTTGCAAATAACACGGGCATTGTTGTTTAAGCCCTCTTTGGAATCACCAACACTAGTTGATCTGGTCTGCTCCTCCTGCGGCTGTTGTTCTTCTTGTACCACGACCTCGTTGGTCTCTTCTCGGACTTTGTCGCCGTCCTCCGATGTTGAAGTTGTCGATAACAAAAAAGACTCCACGACGCGTCGGACAAGCAACTTGTGGTCGAGGTCGGAGAGGTCAACGCAGAGCCTCCGGGCGGCGGTGGTTCGGACATTGTACTCGGTGGTTGTCTCCAAATCTGCATTTTTCAGGATTTCGAGCACAGTTTCTTCGATTTTCCTCCGTTGGGCGTCTGGTTCCATTATTTCCCCGGAGAGTTGGAAATTAGTTAAAATAAAACAATCAAACATAGACTCTGGCTACTACCGTGGTGGGGGTGTAAAAATATGATCACCGCGATGCATTAAGACAAAACTCAAATTTTTATTTAAATTTAAATAAAAAAAAAGTAAAAATTTTGATTTGGTAATTGGTTTAGATATCTCCATTTCAAATTTAAATAAAATAAAAGTTAAATTTAAAAGTGGGTAAAATATGATCATTGATTCTTTAAAGGAGAATTTAGGGACTCTTTGTTTGAGGTATAAGGGTGGTATAAGGAGGTGATATAAGGAAAACAGTGCGTGGAGCCTACCTTAAACCTTGTTTGTTTGACATTTTTTATTAAATATTAATTTCAGGGTCATAGTACCGACCCGGTGTGAACAGTAACACTAATTTCCGGGTCATAATGTCTTCTACACAATGTTATTCAATATCACTTACCCAGTGGTATAATATTCTTGGGGCCTGTTTATTTCGAGTATAAGATTTAGGTGATATAAGATTTTATATTCATTTTATTCTGATCCAATTGTATATTATACTCGGTCTAAAACTATAATTTCATCATTCCCCTTGTTTGTTTGTCACAAACATTATCTGTGTAATACTTACTTAAAAAAATCAACAATTGCGGCTATAACCTGTAAAAAGACAATTGTACATGAGGGCAATTGAGTCTTTTTACTTTATTATACCTCCATCTTATTTGTACCGGGCATATAATACCACCGGGTAGGTGGTATTCATTAAGACCATCTATAAGACATTATAACTACTGTTCACAGCAAGTCGGTATTACAACCCGAAAAATAGTACTGACTATAAAATGCTAAACAAACAAGATATAAGATGGGTCCTACATATTATTTCTCTAATACCATCTCTTTATATCATTCTAATCCTTGAAACAAACTAGCTCTTGGTATAAATGAATGGAGGTATAATAAACTAAAAAAATCAAAATGCCCTCAGGTACAATACTCATATAAAATCTTAGTTGCAATTTTTGACTTTTTAAGGCTAAAATTGTCTTTTTATATTGGTTAGTCGCAATTGTTGATTTTTTTAAGTAGGAATTATACGGATAATGTTTGTGACAAACAAATAAAGGGAAGGATGAGATTATAGTTTAAGACCGGGTATAATATACTATTTGATCGGAGTGGAATGTATATAAAATCTTATACCACCTAAATCTTATACTTGAAACAAACGACCCCTTAATCTCACTATTAAAAATTTAGATTTAAAAAAAGTTTCTTTTCATTTGGTATGGGTATGAGTGTAACATTTGAAAAATATTTTAAACTATTTTTACTCAAATTTAAATTTGAGTACCAAATAAAAAAGGGCTAGAGGTGCTATAATATGATATAAAATTAGAAGATTTGAGTTTTTTTCAATTACATATTTTATAAATAAGTGGATTCAATACGACATAATTAATAAACAAATAAATTAAAAGTGATAACAATCAAAAGAACTACATAACACAACTCGTTTATATATTGATTATAAATGACTCATACATGATACAAATTTAATATGGCACAAATTAATAAATGAATCAACTATGTATGAATATATTTTTTAATATAAACCTGTTAAGACATAATAAAAATTTATCTCACCCGCCTCGCTTGACTTTGCTTTGAGAGGGAGAGAGAGTCCCTTCCTTTTCTTTTTTTTTCGTAAATGAGAGCACCTAGAAACTATCCTAATAGGTCTTCATTGATGAGATCATAAAGCTTCCAACAACACTCATTACTCTTGAGAACAAATCTAACTAGACTAGTATAGCAGTCAACCAATGAGCCTCAATATGAACCCTAAGACTCAAGCCTCAAACTTGAAGGTGAAAAATTTGGTCGGTACTCTACTAAACTACCCTATTCAATGGTGAGAGTCCCCACTCAAATATATATATATATATATATATATAACTCACAAGTTGAATTTTATTTTCTACATATTTTTCTCATCAAAAATATCACATCACTTATTTCTATCACATGTCTAATTATTTTATTATTTGATTAATTTATAGTTTAATATGTTTTTTATTTCAAAATTATTAATGTATGATAGTATACATATATTGAGAAATTTTTGTCAAATTACATATTTTGAAAAAAATTTATCAATATTTTTAAGAAAAGTAAATTTTAAATAATGTAATCCAAGAAATGAAAGAAAGAAAAATTATTATTTAATATGATGAGATAGATTTTTTTGAAACGCTCGAATTTTATGTTTTATCATATGATTAGTATCTATAATCTATAATACAAAATATGATAAGTTTTAACAAATTTATCCTACGGTCTTAAATAGATTCATTCAACATCTACTGTCATCTCTCTCAAAACCATTTACATTGAATTTTTTTTTTTTCCTAAAATATATTATTTCTCACTTACATTGCATTATATTTTCAGATACAAATTATCACTAATATATATATATATATATATATATTCGAGGGCCGCTGAATCCGTGAATTAATATTATTAATGACCATGAAGTGGGCCCTAAAATGTATTCAGGCGATTGGTCGTTGGTGGATTCTAACATAATCTGAAGCCTAATAGGCATCTATTCTTACCTACTTGGGCTTTTATGGGCCGTATAGAGTACCAAAAAGCATACAAAATGTTCACTGAGACCACGGTCCCCTCATTTTATTGGCTATCTCAGGTTCATTATCAATATAATACAGTAGTCAGAGGAGCCTCACTGCCTTTGCGGGTATTCCGTACAACGTTAAATTCAGTATAATAGTTATTAAACTAATTTATTTGAATAAAAAGTCAAAGAGAATCATTGTGAAATTTGTCGGTGAAACTTGATCTCATCAAGTTGTATTTGGGTGTATAAATTTTGTTTCACAGTAAACGAATATAATTAATTACGGCATAATTTCCTCATTCATTCTCCTTTGATTGATCAAACTATTTTGTGAAATCTCACTATTACTTTTGAAAGCGGAGGACAAATCTATTGTTCGGTACGGCAGGAAGAATGAAAAGTAGGGGATATACACTTTGTATCCTTGAACGATAGAAAATAAGAATGATACATTTTATTTCTTTTGTGTTTGCTTGAATGGATAAAAAATAAAAATGACTAACCTTTTTTTTAATTTTTTTTTGTGCTGACTAAAATTAGGGGTGACAATCGACTCGCATCGTGTCATAAAATTAAGAGACTTTTATATTTCTCGTTCGCATGTCAGGTCATTTTCAAGTTCGTGTCGAGTTATAATCATGTTCGTGTCATAAAATTCGTGTCAAGTTCGAATCGTGTTGAGTCGAAAATTTTTATCCTTAGTTAAGATGAATTTTTTTTAATTTAAAATTTTTATTTTTAAATTTATTTTTAATATATATATATTTTATCATTATATTTTTATATGAAATTAATGTATACATAATATATACACAAATAAGATACATCTTAACACAAATAATTAACTTTTCATCTATTTTTTTTTCGATTTTAGAGGGATTGATTCTGGTGAGTTAGAAGGAAAATTAATTTATTCACTTTTCTATCCTTCTTATTTTCCTTCTTTATCAAATATGATATTTTATTTATCCTTATAATTTTTTATTTTTTTAACGTACCAAACGAAAGCGTTAATATAACAATGAAGTCTTCCTATTATGAGTCAAGCAAATATCAACCAATCCCTTGCTATATATGCAAAAAAAATCCAATGTGTCTCATCCTTTCCTAGCATTGAATACAGAATAGTGACTTGAACTACTTCTATTGAATACACACCTACGCCCCTTATCTCTCTCTCTCTCTCTTTTAACTACGGTTTGGATTATTTAGATTAATTTATACTTATTTTAATTAATATTTTCTTCAATACAATTAAAAACACGTCATTTATATTGCAACTAAAATATCTTAATACTACTTTAACTATCCCTGTTTCTCTTCCCTCGTGTACTGTTTGCTTTTGACTTAAGCAACCCACTTCCAATTCCACTCAATAAGATCATGGAAAATCAATGCTTTTCCAGCCAAACAGCTGTGACATTATTGGTAGAGAACTTTTCATGGCAATAAAAAAATTTACTAATTACCATAACATCAACATCTTTATTTTTTGATTCCTTTTGGACACAGAGCTCAAGTTCCAAGTGAGATATCTGTCGCTGTGAAGGATTAAATGACACAATTAATACAAATCCATCCAACTTTTGCAACTAACATTAGACAAACTGCCGATTTGTCCCCAATTACCGAAGCTGTTAATGAAACTGATTTATGCGAGTTTAGTTTGAATTTGACTTGGGTTCAATTTTATTTTATTTTTTAAATGAATCCAAACTTGAACATTTTTTTAAAAAAAAAATTCTACAAGTTCGGCTCATACTTGATTTGTTTTGGGCTCGACTCACTTCTTAAACGAATCGAACTTGAATAATTTTTTAAACTCAATTAACAAATAAATTTTTCAAGCTCGGTTCAAACTGAACACCCACTCATTCAGCTAACACTGCTAGCAACACTATTGTGCCATTCCCCACTTTAGTGTTGTCCCATTCCCCACTTTATAGAGACAAAACCAAAAATATGAGAAAGAGAAAGCAATTCAACTTCCTTTTTACTCCTAACTTTTTTCAACCTATTTTAGTTTAATTCGTTATTTTTTAATTATTTATTTGATCTCTAAATTATATCATTTATGTCAATTAAATATTTGAACTACATTTTATATTAATTTAGTACCTAAATTATAATATTTATGTCAACGTGACCTTCTCGTCCAAATTCTTCGTTAAATTTGACAAAAAAAAAAAAAAAATCTCCTTCCAATCAACTGATAACTTCAACCAAACCGCGTTTCGAACTCCCTCTCTTGTCCCTGGGACTTCTCCATTATTTATACTCCCAAAGCTCTTCCCACCAACAGTCCCAAAGCTCTCTCTCAATCAAATGGAAGGAAAAGCCATTCCCTTCCTCTTTTCCTTTATCTTCCTTTCTCTCACTGTCACTTTTGCCGGAGAGTTACATTACCAAACCCTAGTCCTAAGCCCTCTCCCCAAGCCACAGTCACTCCCAATATGGACCCAAGACTCCCAAACCCTTTCAGTACTGGAACCAGAACAAACCACCACCGAATCTTACTCAGAAACCACCGTTTCCTTACAGTTACACCACATAGACTCTCTCTCCTCCTCCTCCTCCTCCAAGTTCAACATCACCCCGGAGGCCCTCTTCAACCTCAGACTGCAACGCGACTCCGTCAGAGTCAAAACCTTGACGTCCCTCGTCGCCGTTAAAACCAAACCCACAGGCAGTCACGTGCGCGCACGTCGCAGCAGAGACTTCAGCGGTTCCATAATCTCAGGGCTCGCGCAAGGCAGCGGTGAGTACTTCACGCGCTTGGGGATAGGCACTCCTGCTAGATACGTTTACATGGTCTTGGACACCGGAAGCGACGTCGTTTGGATCCAGTGCAGGCCGTGCCGGAAATGCTACACACAGTCCGACCCGGTCTTCGACCCAACCAAATCCTCTTCCTTCGTCGGACTCTCATGTGGGTCCCCTCTATGTCGCCGTCTTGACTCACCTGGCTGTAGCAACCGTCGGAGGTGTGTTTACCAAGTGTCCTACGGTGATGGGTCTTTCACTTCTGGTGAATTTTCCACTGAAACACTCACTTTTCAAAGAATCAGAGTAAAAAATGTTGCAATCGGATGTGGGCATGACAATGAAGGCCTTTTCATCGGAGCTGCTGGGTTATTGGGTCTCGGCCGTGGAGGATTATCTTTTCCGAGACAGAGCGGTCGCCGATTTGGCCGGAAATTTTCTTACTGTTTGGTGGACCGATCGGCTTCGTCGAAACCGTCTTGGATAATATTCGGCAACTCTTCTGTTTCAAGAAACTCCATTTTCACTCCTTTACTTGCTAATCCGAAACTCGAAACGTTTTACTACGTGGGTCTCACCGGAATTTCTGTCGGAGGTGTTCGTGTTCCTGGCATTAAGGCTTCAATGTTCAAGTTTGACGCCACTGGCAACGGTGGTGTGATCATTGATTCAGGTACGTCGGTGACCCGGTTAACCCAACCCGCTTATGTTGCAATGAGGGATGCTTTTCGGATGGGAGCATCCAATTTAAAGCGGGGACCCGAGTTTTCACTGTTCGACACTTGCTTTGATTTGTCCGGCCAAACGGTGGTGAAAGTTCCGACGGTGGTATTGCATTTTGTGGGTGCTGACGTGTCGTTGCCGGCGTCGAATTATCTTATTCCTGTGGATAGTTCGGGGAGGTTTTGTTTTGCATTTGCGGGTACGATGAGCGGGTTGTCCATAATTGGGAATATCCAACAACAAGGGTTCCGGGTTGCGTATGATTTAGCAGGTTCAAGGGTCGGGTTTTCTTCACGTGGGTGTGCTTGATTGGGAAAGGTAGCTTGTGTGGACAGAAGGGAAAACTCTTTCCCTGCTTTGTCGTTTGTCTTCCATATATTCGAAGCTAGGTTTAAATATCCGGGAAATGTTGGTTTAAATTTTGATGTTGGCAATGCTAAATATCCAATTTTAGGGGGGAGGGAAGGGTAAATAAATCGTGTTGATCTTGAGCTAATTCGCATGCCAATTGAATTTGTTGACTTGCATTTGGTGTGTATAAATCGATTCTCTATCATATTTGAATTTAATTTTACTCAGTAGTAAATTAACAATCATGTATGTGTGAGATATCAATTTGTAACTAGTTAGTCCAGGTGTATCATCAAATGAAAATTTAATGGATAGAGTTTTAATTTAGTGCTAAAGTAATTAATTTTTTTCTTGAAATTAATAAAATTTGTTCTCTTTTTTTTATTACCAGCAATGCACTACATGTAACGCACATAAATAAATTTAAATAATACTATTTTTACAAAAATATATAAATTATATATGTAATTAAATTAAATAATAAATTAGGTGTCAAATAATTAATTTATATTTTAATTATTGATTTATTCTATAAGTTTTTAAACAATTAATCTGTCATTTATTTAAGTATCTGTTAAGATTCTTTTAAATATTTGCACATCTAATTATATTATAGAATTATTAATTTTTATTTTTTTAATAAATTAGTTAGACCGCTCTTATAATATTATTATTTTATTACATATCAAAAAATAAAATTTAGTATATATTTGACTATAGATCATATAGATATAAATAATTATATCTATATAATAAAATACAATACAATTCAAATTTCAAAATATAAACAAAATTATTTTTATTTTTTGCAGTTAAGATCTTTTTAAATTTTATTTTAAAGTTTATCTGACGGTTAATATTAACATCTCAAATTTAATAGGAAATAGACCCATAAGGATGTGTTTAAATAATTTTTTAAAAATATTTTATAACTTTTCATAAATATTTTAAAAAAAATAATGTTTAGAACCGTTTTACCACCGTTGCCAACCCACCCCCACTGTCCCACCATCACCACCACTACCATTACCACTACCACTGCTACGACCATCCTACCACCACTTTTGCCATAGCAATTGTCGTCGTCACCCCACCACCACTATTACTACCACTCTACCACCATTGTTACTGTTACACTATTACCACCACCAGTCCCACCGTCCCCACCATCAACTCATATCACCATCGTCGTCACCACCGTTATGGCCCACTACTACTATCATCTACTGTCATTCACACCCATCGCACCTATCACCACCATCAGCATCATTCGTTACCACTCATCACACTATTATCCAGAAGAACCCGTCGTCGACCACCACCACCACCACTATTACTACCACTCTACCACCATTGTTACTGTTACACTATTACCACCACCAGTCCCACCGTCCCCACCATCAACTCATATCACCATCGTCGTCACCACCGTTATGGCCCACTACTACTGTCATCTACTGTCATTCACACCCATCGCACCTATCACCACCATCAGCATCATTCGTTACCACTCATCACACTATTATCCAGAAGAACCCGTCGTCGACCACCACCACCACCATCATCACCGTTGTCACCCATAACTACCACTACCACTACCACCATCGTCACCCAAAACTAACCACAACTATCACTATTAGTACTCATGATTGCCACTAGCACCATGATCGTCATCACCCGCCATAACCATCATCGCCTCCAACAAACCACCATCATTGCTGTCTACCACCACTATTACTACTCACCTCTATTACAACTGAGATTTAAATTCTTTTCTCTCTTTATATTTTATAATTTGATTTTTAGTATGAATACAAATATGTTTATTATTAACTATTATTTTATTAATCTTGGCCTTCAGGTACAGGTAATAACTTATATAACTATATTACTAATAAATGAATTCATTCGAATTTACAAATCTTTATAAAAGAGTTCAAAATAAATTAAAAATTAAATATGTAAAAAATAAAAATATATAAGAGGGTATAATTAATCTTATTATAATAATTAGAGATAAAATAAAAAATAAAATTTTTTTTATTGATGTTGACATTTATAAATAATATAGATAAAAAAAATATTAAGGGGTTAATTCGGAATTCATGTGAAATTGAGGCACACAAACAATTAGGCCCGTAATTTCCGATCGATCAGATGATTAGCACATGGGGATGATGTATGGTGTGGGAACAATGATGTTTACTTATTGTTTTTCGTGGACCCCAACGACCTTTTCTTTTCAGCAGTTATAGCAAACAATGCTTTCAATTCATCATGCCATATTCCTCTTACCTTTCGGTGATTTATTAGATTATTTAGAAGATGTTTTTGGTTGGCAATTAGTATGTACAAGTAGGGAATTTTAAAAGCATCAAATTTGGTCCATGAACATCTGACCATGTATGAACTCGAAATATGAGAATGCTTAAGTTCAAGAGTTTAGGACTTAACGAATAGTAGTGTTTAAGTGATTAGCTCAGAAGGAGACGATCGAAGGTGGAGTCTAGTAGTTCTACCCAATGTTATAATAATTGTAAAACCAATGACTACGGCACGAGTAAAAGAAAAACAAAACACACAAACTATAGTGGTTCATCAATTGAAAAGTTTAAATAAGTCGAAATGTGAGGAGAATGCTTAAGTTAAAGAGCTTAGGGCTTGTGAACAGTAGTGTTCAAGTGATTAGCGGAAAAGAAAAATGATCCAATGTAGAGTATGGTAGTTCTACCCAATGCTATGTAAAACCAATGACTATGGCACGAGCAAAGGAAGAAAACGAACACACAAGTTATGGTGGTTCACCAGATGAGAAGTTTAGCTAATCTATTTTAATTGAGTCTCTTGTTCATTAAGAATTATCTATTACTTGGAGAACAAGATAGGATTACCATTTGTTAGATGTCTTTTCAAGGAGAAGATCTTTATATTTATACTCACAAGTAAGGTGATCCTTTTGTCATTATCACATACTCACTAAGTTTGTTAGAATTTTGTTAAGCGAATATTAGGCCGTTAAAGACTACATTCCCTAAGTGTGACATAATCTTCTAAAACATGTTGAGATGGTATTGTGACTTGTCTTTAAATTTGGATACATTGTGGTCCTCCATAATTCTACAAGAGTCCGTTGTGAGGGTGTTCTGCACTGGGATGTCCTCGTATTTTTTTAAACAACTCGTGAGTAAAGGAACTCGATCCAAACACCTATCTTGACAGAAATGATGATTCCCCTCGTGGTATAGTGTGGACAACTTGGACACTTTTACTTGAAATCGTTCTTGGACGACCTGAATTCTTTTAACTAATAACGTATGTGAACAACGTTGAATCTTCATCTAAGGACAGACACATAGTCACAAGGTGGAGGAATAAACCTCGCCAGTTAGCTCTTTTCAGAACCATTTATCTAAATATCTTTTTATTTATTCATGATGTAATTTTTGAATATCATCAACATTCATTTGTGGGGATTCAAATTGTAATTAAATATATGCTAAATGATATTTCTTCATAAGAATTTAAAAATAAATATTTTGTGACATGGCTCGCCACCCTCTATTATATGGGTGAAGTGGATATAATTTACAAATGAACTTATAAATTGATAATATTCACTCGCCACTACTACCCTTGTGAGAGGAATGACAAAAATAGGATTCACTATTATTAATACTAAACTCTTAATCTTAACATCTTCCCCATTTTATTTGCTCAACCTATAGTTTAAAGAATCACCCATGTGCCATAGAGTGGGCCATTGTACAAAGGCATGACATGACCCATTAGGACATGAATGTGGAATTATCAATTTTTTTTTTACCTATTAACATAACTTAAAATATTTATTTGACGAGGACACAACAAGGTTCAATTGAAAGTATGCTCTGCTGCCGGCAAAGACAATCCGGGCCTAAAAATAAATGGCTTCTTCCTTGATTCCTTCTCATGAACCTATTTGCAATCATAGAATAATGTAATTAACGTGGGGAAACCTGAAAATTAGGGCTCAACCTCAACCATGTGCGACTTCTTGTTCCTCTATATTCTCAATTCCTTTTTTGAAATTAGATTTAAATTTATGAATATCCAATCGGATTATAATTTAATCTAATTTTTGTGTAAATGCCTTAACTACATGGCTATATTGTGTAATTTAGTGATTTTTTGATAATAATGAGTTAAAATTCGGGTGTAATTTGTTAAGATAAATCCTACCTAAGTTAGCTAGATCGAATTGGATCGCATATTCAATTCCTAAAAGATTTAGGGATGGACCATGAAGATAAAATTTGTTGAGTAATCAAATCTATCTTGGATCGAAAATCTCGTGACAAAGGAAAAAATATTAAGTGTAACCGTTACACTATGTCAATAGTACTATTTGGTATAATCATACACTAATAAATAAATGAGTTAGCAAGTGGCCCCACAAAAGTCATAACTACTCGGTCATATAAGACATAACCACCTCTATGATAGAAAATGAGCTCTATTTTATCTATTTTATAAAAATTTTTATTGAATAATTACACTACATTAATATTGTTGACATAGTTTGACCATTACGCCCAATATTTACTCTTGACAAGGGATGTGGGGATGACCACTGGGTTGAAGCCCAATGTTTTGGACCAAGGAATTGCCAAGAGGCCAGTTATGTAACAATCATTCTGTAAGGCTTACTCATGGACCTAGGCCCATTAAAGTCTTTACAACCAGGGCATCAAACTTTTGAGTTTATAGAGAAGAGACTTGAGAGTTTGCCTATTTCATGCCCCATCAATTCCTAGACTAATCACCTCAAGGAAAGCATATGATCAAGGGGTATGTTTGGTACGTGGCTTTGGAAGGGATTAAAAAGTATTTTGTGAAAATAGTTTGATCAACTTTTTAAATTCGTTTTTGGTTTAAAATTTGAGACTCAGGATTTATAGAGGAAATAAATTTTCGACCCATAATAAATAGTGTATTTTGTTCATTTTGTGTCTATATTACATATGAGTAGCTTATTTTACTTTTATATTTTTTGCAAAAAAAAAAAACTTATTAGGTTATAAATTATAAAGAAGTTCGTCGTACGATTGTATGTTGATGAACAAGAAAGGTTTTCTTAGTTGTAAATATCTTACCTACTAAATAACAACATTAGAGTTAATTCTCATCCACATTACAAGTTGATAAAGGAAAAGGCATAAATTCTCAATTTTGATATTCGTTTCTTTCTGATTTAAACTAAGAAGCACATTCTCTGTATCTTTATCGGAAAGAGCAAGGCTCGTCCAGATCTCGATTAATTATAGGCTTATAGCACCAAAAATGAATTGACAATACTACTGATGCTAATAACAACAATAATATCAGAATAATGTTCTTTAAGGATGGATAACAATCCATTTTTAAGTTAATTAAAGTAGTCCAAAATGCTTTTAGAATATTTGGTGTTAGTCCAAAATCCTTTATAACTTTTAACCCAAGTCATCTTAATTCTTCCTTCTCATATGTAATGATAAACACATGTATTAGATATGGTTGTTCCATTGGCATTTTACTGACTTGCAAAGGTGACAGCAATCTAAGAAACCTGAAAACAATGAGATTTTCCAACCTCATCAGGAAAATTTTAACTTCAACCTTAAAAAAAAATAGATTCAATGCACAAAACTCATGTTTTTAGTGTGATTTACAAAGGCAAATAAAAAAACAAATTTGTCCCAATAGATTATAGAATTTAAACTCATAATGTAATTGTAGAAATTAGGAATTAATGACTTATAAAGATAAATGAGCCACTTTTTTTTATTACATAAAGTTAATTGAGAATATTAAAGAACATGAAATGATGAATATACGCGTTGGCGCATTAGTTGCTTGGATTGTTATTCTTCGAAAAAGGGCTTATAATATTTATTATCATTTTCTGGGTAATTAATAATAATTTTTTGTAAATTATTTTTCAGTGGAATTTTAATAATTAGTTAATAGTTATAATAGGCATCCAGAAATAGGGTAGAGTTATTCATATCCCCACTGTACAAATTTCCACATCCAGATATAGAAATTGGAATAACAAAATAGAAACAGGTAACAGCTACCGGGGAAAAACTTTCCCAAAATTAAAAAAAGTGAATCAAGATCGGCCCTTTCTTGAAACTTACCCAATCTCTCTCTCTCTCTCTCCCTTCAACCTTTAAAGAACCTGAATACGTGACTGATATTCACAAACAAAAGATTCAAACCCATCACAGCAAAACCCATCAAAATATATATATATATATATTTTTTTGGGTGTATATGCATTGTACATAAATGGAAATGGATAGCATTGAATGCATATCATACTCGGATGGAAACGATGAGGATGAGATCCAGCCCCATCGTCATCAGCATCAAGCTCCTGGTCCGTTTTCATCTTCCAAGCCTCACAGCAATGTTGTCTCTTCGGCGGGGATTCGTCCCACGACAAGTGTCCATGAGCTTCTCGAATGCCCAGTCTGTACAAATTCAATGTACCCTCCTATACATCAGGTTCGTTCTTTTTCGAATTTATAGTAATGGGTTCGCCAATTTTTGTAATAATGGTCGTTTAATATGATGTGTCGTTCTTGTTCTGCATTTTATTCTTGAATATTGGGTTTGGTGGACCTTTCCGATGGGTTGGTTGATGAAAATATGTAGTTTCCATGGTTGGTTTGTAATCGTATTTTGATTTTAGGGGTTGATCGGAGTTTTGGGATCTGTGTTAAAACCAAGTTGTTGCCTTCAGGATTCTAATTTCTGGGCAATGCTGCACTGCATTGAAGGGATTTTGGATTAGGTTTAGAATTGCTTCTTTAATATATTTATGCGTGAATACTTGAATTAATTGGGATGAATTCTGGCGATTATGATTATTATATATGTGATGTGGAAGGGGCATTTGGAGGACGTTTAATTATTGCAAGTTCTTAAATTTGGTTTCAACTTTCTATATGAGAGATGATAGGGTTCATGAGATTCTTGTGCTTTTTCTCATTTTCCCACCAATAGTGTGCAGGATGACCAGGGATTTATTTGGTTTGGTAAAGGATAGTTTTATTTGCCTTTGGGTTTGTTCTGGCCATTATTATCCTTCTTTTGCTTGTTTACTTGACTGATGTGGGTGGAAAATTATGATGTTAAATTTTAGAATGGAACGTACAGACAACTAGGAAAGAAAAGTTGAGAAAGGAGCTAGTTGGAAAAAGAATAGGAATTATGTTATTGCTGGTTAAATTTGCCAGAGAGCAGGTGAGACTTCCCTATTAACCCCTCTGCCCATGTTAGAATAGCAACCGAGGTGCCAGTATTTCTTACACAATTTTAGGTGGAGAATACTGACTCTAGATGTCCCTGGGTATGCCTCATTTGTATTCACAAGGGGCGTGAAAATTACTGATGCTGCCGAGGCTGCACTAAATGGGAGAATTTTGGGGTGTATTTTGCGCACACAAGATAATAGGGTGGGGTATATATATATATATATATATTTCTCAGTCAGATATTGCACTATCGATCGAGTACAGTCATACTATACTTTAAAAGGTTCCCCTAGGTAACCCCTATTTTTGGTGGAAGAGGTGGATTCCTAACTTTCTGAGTTTGGAAGTTTGGGATGCAAAGCTTTGAAACAAAAATTATGCCAAAGTCATCATCCTTCCCTACATTGCTACGTATAGCACTGATCTACTTTCATCTAACTAGGTAATTAATTTGACTAATGCCCTTAATTAAAATTTGTCTTGTCTATATTTTAATTTGTGCTAGTGTTTCTTTATTCTTATTTTCTTTGTGCAAGTGAAAAAGATTTTAGTTGATTGGTCTGACAAGTTTTGATTTCTGCAGTGCCACAATGGGCATACTTTGTGTTCCACCTGTAAAACAAGAGTGCAAAACCGGTGTCCCACTTGTAGACAGGAGCTTGGTGATATAAGGTGTCTAGCATTAGAAAAGGTGGCTGAATCACTGGAACTACCTTGCAAGTATTGCTCACTTGGATGCTCTGAGATCTTTCCCTACTACAGCAAGCTCAAACATGAGGCCATATGTAACTTTAGGCCATACAATTGCCCATATGCTGGATCAGAGTGCTCAGTTGTTGGGGATATTCCATACCTGGTTTCTCATCTTAGGGATGATCACAAGGTAGACATGCACTCTGGATGCACATTCAATCATCGCTATGTCAAGTCTAATCCACGTGAAGTAGAAAATGCCACATGGATGCTAACTGTAAGTTTATTTTCCTATATTTTATATTTGTATTTTTTCTGTTATACGAGTTTTGCAAATTTACAAATATGGTGGTTATATGTGAACACATCACCGATCATTGGGCTCATTGGGCTACCTATAAGTTGTGGAACAGGAGCTTATTTCTTGTCAGGTCACAGCGATTCATGATGTTCTTTAAATAAACTTAGAAAATTTGATTCACATATCAAATAGAGCATTCTAAGTAAGTTACTGCTTCAGTTATGAGTTACCAATAAGAATAGTAATTAATAACATGAAACTTAGACGACTTAAAGTGGTTATAAGGTAATGTAAACATTATGCAACCTATATAGTGCATTGTACCCTCGTAATATTATGAGAGCCGTTCATTCTCATGGGCCATTATGTATAGTTCAATTACTTCAACCATGGATAACATCGTCTTTGATTTCCTTTTTGTGCTTTACTGAAGGACCGTTGAGATATTCTAGCGGTTAAAACTATTTCAAGGACTGCTATTGTGTATATCAAGTTTTTGTGAATGCTTATATCTATTTTCCCAATTCCTTCCTTGTTTTAGGTCTTCCATTGTTTTGGTCAGTCCTTCTGTCTACATTTTGAAGCTTTTCAGCTTGGCATGGCTCCTGTTTATATGGCATTTCTTCGATTTATGGGCGACGAGGCAGAGGCCCGAAATTATAGCTACAGCTTGGAAGTTGGGGGAAATGGCCGGAAACTCATTTTTGAGGGTACCCCGCGAAGCATAAGAGATAGTCACAGGAAAGTTAGGGATAGCCATGATGGCCTCATTATACAACGTAACATGGCCCTTTTCTTCTCTGGTGGAGACACGAAGGAGCTGAAGTTGCGGGTTACAGGACGGATATGGAAAGAACAACAAAACCCAGATGGCGGAGCATGCATACCGAACCTCTGTAATTAAGGCTATTTGGGTGTCGCTTGCTTTCTTTCTTTCTTTCTTTTTTCCCCCTTTGTTGTTTGTGCTTAATTTTAAGCTAATTTTAGTAGTGGACTGAGACGTTGAGAGGTCTTGAAATATGTACAAGTTCTTGATTGCCAATTTGAAGGTGAATATCATTGTCATTTATTTTTGAATAAGAAGTATCTTCCTCTCCCATATACCCATTGAAAGAATATAACAGTATAGTGTAAATTGAGCCGAGCCTTTCAGAGTTTTTTATGCTTAGGCCAGTTTGAGTTAACCCTCACTTATTCACGCTCTATAGTTTAGCTTGAATTTTTTCTTTTTCATGTTTGACTCTAATATACACTTAGTTTCAACTTGGTATTATGGATTTGTATTTGAGCACGAAATATAAAAAACTTCGAGTTCAGCTTTACGGTTGGGGCAAAAGATGGGTAAATTCAGAAAAATCACATGTTCATTTGAACTTAATCCACAATATTATTGTTTAAAATCACTGGAAATATACACAAATTGGCTTGAATGGTGCCATGTCCATGCGGCGTCGTATAAGCAGGACATTCAGTGGATACATAAGACGATTCTACAGTGAGCCCGAAGTCGGCTGTACAATTCTTTCAGTACCTAGAAGGCTTTTATCAGAGGTATTAGAACACTGCACCGAAGCTTCTCTCTCTCTCTCTATGTGAATTCCGTCGGCAACAATGGAGGTCCTCAGCCCCAAAATCCCTACCAGCCCTGAAATTCTCTCTCGGATTCCAATATTCTTTCCTAAATTTCCCTCCACGGCATGGGATAAGAAAAACCCATCAAGAGTCGGCATACCCAAATCCAAATTGCCTCTACAGTCACCATTTTCACTATATCTACGCCTCTCTAGTTCCAGAAAATTCCAAATTTCTGCTCATTTTGGCCGGCCCACAACCCGCCGAAACTCTCTGAGAAAAAAGCTCAATGAACAACAACAAGAACAACAGCAGGTGCGTCACAATCCTCAAACTGACGACCCAAGTCCGGATTTTCGAAACCCAGTTCATCATTTTGATGACATCAATAGTTTTCAATCAAATTCAGCTAATCATAATGTACGGGAGAATAGCGCGAGTTCTGATAATGTGAAGGGATCAAAATCAAAGGTTTTGGGAGAGTCTGCTTTGTGGAATAAATTAGAGAGTTGGGTTGACCAGTACAAGGAGGATTCAGAGTTTTGGGGTATTGGCTCTGGTCCTATATTCACTGTTTATCAAGATTCTGATGATAATGTCGAAAGGGTAATTGTAAATGAGGACGAAATATTGAGGAGAAGCCGAATTGACCCTTTGTTGTATAAGCAGAATGAGCTTGAGGACTTAGGTGGAGTGAATTTGAAAATTTCTCATGCCAAATTTTTAGCTAAAGAGATGGAGAATGGGAATAATGTGATTCAAAAGAATAGTTCAGTGGCAAAGTTTATAGTTTCAGGTGAAAAATGGGGTGTTGTTAATGCGATTCGGGGTGTTACTCGTCAACCTGGTCTGTTAGCAAAATTGTCATTAGTTGGGGTCTCGATGTTGTGTGGTTTCTTTGTGATCTGGGCGGTCAAGAGATTGTTTACTGGTGGTGAAGATAGCGTAGAGTATACGAGGTTGGAGAAGGAAATGATGAGGCGAAAGACAAAAGCTAGAATGGAGAAAGAGAAGCTAATGAAGGGTAGTGTGGAAATTATTCAGGAGTTAAGGGAGCAGCAACCAATGTCTACTGAAAGGCCTCGACTTGACAAGCAAGAACTTATGGATAGCATATTGAAAGTGCAGGCATCAACTGATAAATTGGCATTGCCAGAATCTTCTGGTACTCAGGCTACTAAATCTTCGGATTTTGATTATAAAATTCAGGAAATTAGAGCAATGGCAAGACGTGCACGAGAACTTGAGAGAAAAGATACTTTGCCAGATGAAAGCGAGGGCGAAAATGATCGAACTGTCAAGGAATTGTCTAATGAAGAGGAAGTTGTTCAACATCTTGGAGATGGGGATGTGAGCTCTCCACATGACCATCCTATTGGCTATGCAGTCCAAATTGGTGGTCATAGCAGAACTATGAAGCCCGGCTCTTTTGATAACCAAAAAGGTTACGATACTGGATTCTCTAGAGATATAGCTTTGGTGGAGACCAGTGAGAGACAAACTTCCAATACTCAAAATGATTTGGAAGATAGAGAGTGTAGTTCAAACTTACCGGGCATAATTGAAGTACATCAACCATCTGATGCTCCGCGGGTCATACGGTCAGTTAAGGCAGCTAGGGAATACCTCTCTCAAAAACGTGACAAACAAGAGCCCAACCAAGAAACGAAAATAAGAATTGTTGAACAAGTTGATACTGTTTTGAACATGCCAAATGGAAAGGCAATGGGTTGTGCCCCAAGCCAGGGGATAGATGAGAATGATGAAGTGTTGGACGCGTCCACTTTAATTGGCACACCATATTTTTCATATACCACAGGTGCTTCTGATGATTCCACTGTTGATGGAAAGGAATCTGTTCCAACCAGAATCAGTGATCCTAAAGTTGCTGAAGAGGGTCATGGCTGCAGTGACGGCAGTAAAGAGACAGGACTGTCTGCTTTAATCTTACCCAGAGGAGAAGAAAGGGATAGTTGCACAAATCATGGAACTTCAGATTCTGCATCCACCTTCTGTGCTGGTGGACATTCTACGTTGGAGACAGAGGCATCTCTTTCAGCCAATAGTAATCGTTCCAAATATATAGAGGAAAGAAATGGAGCGGTAGACTTTCAATCATCTGGAACTTCCTTTAGCGATGAAAGCAATGGCGGGAGTGCAGAGATGGTATCATCAGAGCAAAAGGTAAACTGGATGAAGAAAAATTTTCATGAATTTGAGCCCATTGTAAAGAAGATTCAAGTTGGATTTAAGGATAATTACATGGCTGCAAGGAACAAAATAAATCAAGATTTGAATTCAAATACCGAGATGATTCAGCTTGAGTCTGATGAAAATCATGATGAACTTGAGTGGATGAAAGATGACAGGCTTAGAGAAATTGTATTTCAAGTCCGAGAAAATGAGCTGGCAGGGCAGGATCCTTTTTATATGATGGACGATGAGGAAAAGCTTGCGTTCTTCAATGGCCTTGAGAAGAAAGTTGAAAAAGAAAATGAAAAGCTATCAAATCTGCATGAATGGATACATTCAAACATCGAAAACCTTGACTATGGAGCAGGTAATTGACTGTTTCCTTGAATTTTCTTTTAGTTCGCTTCTTATGCCATGAATAAAGAATGGATGACATTAAAACCTTCTTTTATATAAAAGTATAAACTTAAGGGATGCTGACCCGGCTGGTTATATTTTTCCATGATTCCACGTATTACTTTTCTCTTCAAAAAGTGTCAAACTAATTATTTTACAAAGCTCTAGATTCTTATTACATTAGTGGAGTTAGATTTGGAATTATGCATTTATCAAACCTTTTTAATTTCTGAGGTACCATGCTAACTGAGCTTCTTGCATTTCCTGTAGATGGTATTAGCTTGTATGATCCGCCAGAGAAAATTGTACCTCGCTGGAAAGGTCCCTCGTTAGAAAATAATCCTGAATTCCTCAATGACTTTTTAGAACAAAGAAAGGCATTTATGGCTGAAAGTGTCAGAAATTCATACCTTGTGAAGAGGGATGGAGAAGACTTTCCTGAAAAATCAAAAGAGTCCCTATCCCATGATAATATTCCTGCAACCTCCGCTGTTGGTAATCAAAATGCAAGAATTCTACATAAGCCTTCGAAAACTCCAAAGACAATAATAGAAAGCAGTGATGGGTCCGTCAAAGCTGGCAAAAAATCAGGGAAAGAGTACTGGCAACACACAAAAAAATGGTCCCAAGGGTTTCTAGAATCTTATAATGCAGAAACAGATCCAGAAATCAAAGCTGTTATGAAGGATGTAGGGAAGGACTTGGATAGATGGATCACTGAGAAAGAAGTACAGGAAGCGGCTGAGCTGATGGATAAAATACCTGAGAGGGGACGGAAGTTCATTCAAGAGAAGCTCAACAAGGTCAAAAAAGAAATGGAAATGTTTGGTCCACAAGCTGTTGTGAGCAAGTATCGTGAATATTCAGAAGCGAAGGAAGAAGATTATTTGTGGTGGCTAGATCTTCCCTATGTACTGGTAAATATTTAGTGTCCCCTCGGTTATTTGTATCTTTATTTGTTTGTTTGTTTTGGGAGGGATTGTGTTATGTTATTCCCATTATTCTAGTTTGCCTAAGAGAGCATGCCCTTTCTACTCACATCAGTTAATTCCATCTGGATACGGCAGCATTACTTGGCTTTACATTGTTGTTGCGTAGTTTTGCAGACAATATGATATCAATACTTCTTTTCTTAAAATTACCTTTGTCATTGTTATATCTTGATCCTTATGCAAGCAAATGATTAGTGTTTTTACACGTGTTATGAAATGCAGTGACATCCAATGTAGTACTTTTATAAATTACACTTCAATGATTTTACTGTGTGTTTTTTTAGATAGCATTTAATGATTTCCGAGTAAGTTGTTCGTCTACATCTGTTTTCCAGTGTATTGAATTGTACACGAAAGAAAATGGGGAGCAGAAAATAGGATTTTATGCATTGGAGATGGCGGCAGATCTTGAATTGGACCCAAAGCAGTATCACATCATTGCTTTTGAGGATGCTGGTGATTGTAAGAATCTTTGCTACATTATACAGGCTCATATGGAAATGCTTGGAAGTGGCAATGCATTTGTTGTTGCACAAACACCTAAGGTAATTAATCAATTTGCTTTCTTGCTACTATCTCAGATTATGTTTAGAGTTCTCGTGGTGAGGTGAGAAGCTCAGAGCGATCCAGTAATGAAATCCACACTTGCTTGGATCAATTACTTGGTCAAGTAACTTAGATGGCCAAAATACTATGAACTGCGTGAGTGAACTGTTTAAAGAACTACTTTAAATTTAACCTTTGTACTTGTGGACTGCCTACTTTCTTGCACACAAAATATTTCCTTCCAAATTTACAGCGGAGATCTACTTAGAACATGCCAAGAAGACGATTAGGCTTGTCATCTATTCAAGGAGATTGGCGGTCTAAAATGAATGTCAGAAAACCTATCAAGATAATGTATATCCTTGAACTGTTTCGGTAAATTTTTAGCAGTCCAGAAGAACATGTGCCATGTCATGACCTGATTACCAAATATTCAGTTAAGGAGACTGCTCAAGTGGCCAAACACCGAGAAAAAAAAAAGTGGCCCAAACACATGTTGGGTTCTCGTCTGTTTCCACCTCTGAAGATGAATATTTCATAGTCAAGATCTCCCTCTCAACCCCCCCATTCCCCCCAAACAAAAAAAAAACTACCCCAAAACCAAAAAAAAAACCACGTATAAGAACCTTTTTTGTTACTGATTTCTGAGTCCTATGTTATTTATATAGAGATAGGAACCTAAAAGTCTTCGTTCTTAGATTAGAAGCCTTTTTTATTTCTTTTCTAACTGTTGCAACCACTATATAGGATGCATTTCGTGAAGCCAAAGCAAATGGATTTAGTGTGACCGTCATCAGGAAAGGAGAGTTGCAGCTCAGTGTAGATCAAACATTGGAAGAGGTGGAGGAACTAATTGTTGAGATTGGGAGTAAGATATACCATGATAAAATCACAAGAGAACGCTCTGTGGATATAAGGTCATTAATGAAGGGTGTATTTGGTGTTAGCAAACCCACCAAGAGGTAAATTTTAGTTCCTGAAGACCTTTTGCAGAATTAGCAATGGAGGGTGATCTCATTCTCGTTCAAATTTTTTTTTTTTTTTTTGTGTTTGTGAATTACTCTCATCAGTCCTTTGTGTCAGCAAAGTAACTATCCCTTATTCTTCACGGTCCTTGTTTTCCTTTTTTCTACTTCATATTTTTCAGGAAAAGGATCAAGCGGAAGCTGAAAAAGCCTGCTAAGCAGCAGTGAATGATCCTAATTTGTGATGCCAGACTAACTGGTTAACTTCCATTGAAGGTATTATTTTCCTCTGAACTTTAGCAAGGTCTGCATGGTTTTTGGTTTACTGCCTGCACTCTCAACACAAAGAAGGAGAGAGGGAGGGAGTGTTTCCTCCCCATACTTGCTGTTGTGGCTCACAATTTTAAACGCTGCCACATTTTCATTACGCTTTTGAAACACTCCTGCTGTGTCTTGTATGACTTATATGCAACCAGAAAGCTACTATTTTACCAAGTTTATTTTCGAGATCGTAACAATTTGAGATTATTCTTGTAGATCCTTTGATTTTGGTTTATTGTTTTCTAGCTATTTTGTTATGGATGTGTAGTTAGCTTTTTCTGCTGAACAACTGCTGAAATCATCTAATAAAACTTTCATTATAGAAAAGGTGTCACCTAGTGTTGTGATAAGGGCTTGGCCTTTTCCAACATTTTGATGCAAGTTCATAATTGAGTTTACATTTGCATCCATATTGTGAATTTGAAATTTGGAATGGTTGTGATGCAATGAATAAGTAAATCAGGATTTACATGTAATTGTACTTAATATCTAGTGACTAGACTTGGGCGACCAAAAAAGGAATACATTGGATGAGCCTGTACCTCATATTTTGTCTTTGCATTGGTTATTTAACAAAGAAAAGAGAAGCTTGAACCTTTTTTTTTTTGGCGGGGAAAGAGGATGGGGATTGTATTTGTGAAGTATCTTTTGAGAAAGAAATGTGAAGAAGTCCGGATTTGTTTCCTTGCAGGTGAAGCTTGCTTCCACATTTATGGTAAAAAGAAGACATACTGGCCCTGGAACATCTTCAGATTTATAGAGGCTATTCTGCATTTCCAATTTTGGTTCCAATCATGCTGTGCAGATGTCATGTAGCCATCAGAAGTAGAAAGTGGCATATCTGGAGCTAAACTGGTCTCCATTCCATGCTTTAGCATTTTGACATTATGTTTGAACACGTCCAGAGAGTGTGCCGTGATGATAACCTCTTTCAATAGGTATCTATCTTCTTCATCCTATTCCTAAGACAGATAATACTGGAGGTACTGCTCAACCCAATTACCAGGTTGACTCAATCGGGAAGCTTCAACCCAGAACTTTCAAGTACTTGAACATCCATGCTGTCATCGTGTTGGATCACATGGTTTATTAGTCATCTCAAAGCTAAATGCTTGTGGCACATTTCATCTCGCCTTTTAAATCAGATGAAGATTGAGGATGGGAAGCGCAAACGCTATTCAGATGCCATTTAGGATTTTTTTTGTTATCAGTCTTAAAGTTTTGCTCTCGAGTCCTGGAAAACTGTATTGTACATCATGGAAGAGTTTGCAGATTTTTTTTGGGTTCATCTGCTCCTGGTACTCTAAACTCAAGACTGCAAGATTGGTGCATCGGCTCAATCAAGATGTCTCTTGCGTTACTCACATTTGGTGCCGTGTTAACCCAGTTGTGCCTTATAAGCTAACATGTATGTTATTTATGATCGCATTTACAATGTATCAAAAACACTAAATTATAGTCCTATCCTACTCTGAAAATTCAATTTTTCTTTAGCATATAGAAATTTATTATTCAAATTTGAATATGCTGCTGGTTTGACATTTTTAGTGATCATGGCTTTTGGCTAGTTTAGTCATCATGGCTGACTCACCTAATCTATCGACAATGTATATTTTTATAGAATCTTTGCTCAGATGATTGAAATGGCATAGACAAAGAACAACAATAAAACAGTATTTGTGCACTTAACCATTCATTGAAATTCAAATCCAACGGTACAATAACACTACAATTACAACAGAAACATATTTGATCCAACAATAACCATCAGCAATGGAAACCCAACACAGACCCACTGCTAACTTGAATAACCACCCCACACCTCATCCCACTCTCCACCCTGTGCGTGAACACCTTCAAAACCCTAACCCTCCCCACCAACTTCATCCTCGTCTCTATCTCCATTGTGGGTCCCACCCCAACCCCAACTCCAACTCCAACTCCATCACCTACCCACGGCGTAGACATCCCATTCGCTGCCGCCGCCGTTGTCGTTGCCTTCGACGCCACAGGAAATTTCTGTACGTTGAACTTCGCCGACATGTGCTGGGTCCGACCCGCCTCAATCTTTCCGGCGGGGATAAAAACAAAACCCACCGGCTGGCCGGAGTAGGCAAGCTGGAGTGAACTGTCGTAATGGGTGAACTCGTCGCGGTTGGGGTTCGTGACGGAGACGAATTGGAAGAATGTGAAGTTGACGGTGCCGTTTTGGATGGAGAAAGTTGGGAATTGGACGGCTTCGACGGCAATTTTTGGGTCCTTGGGCTTGAAGACGAAGAAGTAGACGATAACGATGACGACAACGAGGAAGAGGAGGAACACTGTTGCCACTATACATGAAGCTAGGTTTGTACGGCCACTTCTTTGAGATCTGTGGCTATGGGGTTCATACATCGCTAAGCTGAGGTGAGAGATAGGTGAACTTAACTGTACGAAATGTAGGAAAAGAGGAAAGCCTGGGAAAGTTGAAGACGGTGATGCGATGGTGGTAATAAAAAGGAGAGTGTTAGAGCTACTACAGTTAGTTACTTCTATCTACCGAAAATTGGAAAAGCTATTGGATTTTGCCACGTCATTATCTAGGTGGATTTTTTTACAAGGGCAAATTTCTCCAACTTGAGACATCTCAAAACACACCTCTCTATAGTCAAATCTAAAATACCCGAATTTTTTAACGTACCTCTCTATAGTCGAATTCAAAATATCCCAGTTTAAGTAGGAAGAAGGAAAGAAACTTGATTCAAGTTATTATTGGAGTTTGGCCTTGTACCAAGGAGTAGGGTGAAGGGAACTCTAAGGACAAATAGTTCCTTTACCCTTCGAAAAAAATTAAATTTTCTATGTGAGTAGTTACATTTGAGAAGTTCAAAAGGTACCCAGATGGATTCATTGTGTTTTCTCCAATGTTGAAGATTTGGAGGAGTGAGTGAATTGGTTGATATGCCTTTTTGTAAGGGGGTGGGGTTTTGGAGGTTTAAGATATGAAAAAGCTTTTTGAGTAGGAGATAAGTTTGGCATAATTGCATTTCAAGTGAATTGGGCACCAAGTCAGGGTTAGAGAAGCAGAAACAGATTAATGCTCACTTAATACCAACTGTTGTTCAAGTATGTGGGGGGGGGGGGGCCATAGTGATCCGGGTCCCGCGTGGAAGGGCTGTTACTCAACCGGGCTCTCACTCAACCGATCAAAGGTACCCGATATAGTTGACCGATGACTCTCCAGAGCTCTTATCGACAGCTGCAAGAACCAATCAATCTGCAATCTAAGGATTGAAGAAGTGACAGCTTGAAGAAGATACTATCAAAGCAATCAAAACAAGTGGAATAAGGGCAAAGATTTTACCAATTGCAGATAACAAATTGCAATAAGGACATTTTTTCGGCAGCTTAACACGTGAGTCACTAGCAAACCCCACCAAAAACATAAACAAAACCATTTTTTCTAGACAAATATATTATTCTTAGAGGGTAATTATGTCTAACATGCGGATATAGAATGCATTTCCAGAACAGAAAGTCATAATTTGACAAATGATAAGCTTGTTTTCAAGCTCTCCGAGGTCAATTCCGGTAAACTGCAAAAGAATTGAAAAAATAAAGGAGAATTAAAAGCAAATTCTCCTTGAAATTCAACCATTTGGATAAAAGATATCCACATCCACCATCCATATAGATGAACAGAAAACACAAGACGCCTATGTACCAATTCTCTGTGTGGACCTCCATGAAGCAATTTCATCGAGGCGACGATCCATGATCTGGAAGACTGATTCAAGGAATGAAGCTTCACTCATTCCAGGGAGCACAGAATCCAGTGCTTCACGGATAATCTCCTCAATCACTGATTCCTTCGTCAAGGTTTCTCTACACATAATGCTTCCTATGACGAAGGGGGTAAGCCCTCTATCTACACCTTTCTTCAGAAGCATCGTGGAGATGCGAAGTGTGCGAGCACATTCAATAGGAAGGTCCCAGCCATAGAACTTCAGTATGGTAATGTCTTCCTCAGCATCCAGCGATTTTATGTATTTGACTGTGCCAGGGCTATAAGGCTGACGTGCTTGTGGCCAGTAGAGCCAGTCAAAGGTGCAATCTTCAAACTGCAGTAATGACAGAACATGAGACAAATGGAAAACACACACTACGACTGAATGAACTAGAAATTTAACATCAATCTCTAAAAAAGATTTGAGACCAGCATTAATAACATTTATGTCAGCTAAGCAAATTAGAAATGTCATCGATGTCATAGTGAACTACTAAGTCTGGAAGGCCAAAACTAACAGCAGTGGCAAACAGCTTCTGAAGAAAACATCTTTCAAAGGCCTACGATAGTTTGAGAAGGGATTATATTTTTACAGGAACTGAGAACATGGAAGGAATTTCAGAGGGAAAAGTCTGCAGAACCTCAAAAACAACCCTTCTGCTTATCATCCTTGCTTTTGAAAGCAAATGGGACAATGTAAGAATATATGATTCACACTCTCACTATCACCTTTGCACATAACACACCATTGCAGTGAAAAAAACAAGTCATTAGTCTCCTTCTTTGACCCACATCATAAGTGTTAATCTTACCATGAGTAATTTTGGTTTGGACAACTTGTCCACCTTTGACTGTCACTACACATCAAAAAGAAATTTCCGAAGGGAAAAATTCAGGAAAAGTTTCAACAACTGAACCCATAGTTTAGAAAGCAGCATACAAGGACCAAATTTAGCAAGATTTAAGGATAATGAGTTTGCACAAAATCATGAATTAAGCAAAAATGAAGAATAGGAAGAAGATGACTTACAGTCTCAGGCAAGCAATAGCCATGATCAATCGGAATCAACAGAGTCTGGCCATCTTCGCCTTTGCTCATCAATATATTCCCCGCATGCCTATCTGCATTTGCCATCCTTATATCCAACACGGAGATTTTATGTACCTCCTCCACTGGAAAAGAACCAGGACCCATATCCTCACAACTTCCATAATTCTCCATGAACATCTGCAAGGACCCAATCTTGACATTCATGCTCTCTGGATGATTAAATCCTCCATGCAAGCATTTGACAAGAACAGTGGGGGGAACCCCAGAAAATCCCTCTTCCTCGCCAATAAAGGAATGTTGCCCAATCTTCGGATGATCCAAAATGTAGGCAGCAACTTCCCTGAAAGCCCCTTCTCCAACTCTTGTACCTTTCTTCAACCCTTCACCATCCACTGATAAGGGCAGCCCATGAGGGTTGTTTAAAGCCTTAGGCTCTTCATCAATTGGCTTAAACACGGAAACATACTTGCCCCCTAATGCATCAAGCATAAAGTATGCACCACCTGTACCCTCCGACGATCTGATTGGATAGCTCCCTCTATCTAACCCTTCAAACGTGGAGTCAATCATATCACGAATCACCAAAGGCAATTCAATCTTTGGGTTTATAATCACTGGTTCCAACCAGATCTCCCTATCCGGAGGCTTTCTTGGAACAACTACCCTGTTCTCTGTTTTAAACCCATACCCACTTTCTCTATTCACATCATTCTCTCTCACATCATTCAAAGGCGATGCAACAATAGACAATTCAAATTTTTTCTCCACGGGCCTAGGTCTAATTTTTGCAGACTTCCGCACAAACAAATGAATCACAGCATCATTACTCTTACAGATATCATTGATAAGTCTCTGATCCTCGAGCTGCTCACCATTACACAAGACCTCTTGATCATCAATGTCAACTAAACTATTCTTTTTCTTAGCAATCTGACGTTTTACATACCCAACATCCCGATTCTTTTCAACATGAAAGGTAAAATCTTTCCCACAAGAAGTCCTCACGCTAATGACTTGAAGATCTGAGAAGCGGATAACCAAATGCACAACATTCCCATCAATGACTCCATAGTCCCTAACGAGGGAATTACTCCTCGCCAATTCACGGCCACCACATACCAATTTTTGCTTTGTCACAACACATCCTTTATAGTTTTGAATCTGAAGCTTCACGGACTCAATCGAATCGGACTCCAAAACCCTCATTGGTTCCATCGAACCCGACATAGCCACGTAAATCAAAATCGACTCGCTTAATTCCTGGCTATGTAAAAGAGGTGAAAGTGCCATTGACTCATCGCGAATTGGATTAATTGCAACAACACCAGCCGACGACATCTTCTCTATCCAAATTTCAGCCCGAAAACTCAGATAAAAGAAGCTAAAAAATCCCCAAACACAGAATCTACAAATTTACACACATGATCCTTACATAAAACTCTGCACCCTAAATGATCAAACTGTACAATAAAAATCCAAACAAATATATATTAGAGCTCGTATATCTTCGGGAAAAGTTAAGCATTTTAGGGATACAACGAGAAACCCAACAAAGATATGAGACTTTATACAAATTATGGCTTTCAGAATGATTTCTTGAATGTAAATGTACAATATAATTCAATGAAAAGCAGAGAGCGAGAGTGGATTCTTACCAGAGAGCAAGAACGGAAGACGAGGGCTACGATTAAAGAGAAGACATAGGTGGCGATGAATTGGCGAGGAACTGGAGTAGAGTAAAAGGGTATTACGGGTTGAACGATTGAAGAAAGAAGAGAAGAGAGCAGTGATTTGTTATCGACGATTTTTATGCTCCGTTCTAGAGAGAGAGAGAGAAAGGGGAGAAAATGAAAACGCGTTTAGCCATCAGCTATCAATTTTCCGTTGAATTGCTACGTTTTGACGTGGATTTTTCGGGTCGTTAAAAACACGAGTTAAGGGAATTTTATGATTAAATAATTCTTATCTTGTTTGTTAATTAACAGAATATATCTGAGCTCCAAGGAAACTGATCCATTTATATCTTACAGCTCACTTGGTATGAAAATTCATCTGATAAGAATAAGTCTTTTCTACCCGAATCCAATTTTAAAAATTAAAGTGGATTTGTGTTAACTAGCCTGCTCAAAGCATTATGATTATAGTCATGCTCTCTCACAAGTTTGAAGAAGAAATTTCTACGTCCATATTCAACATTCAACTTGTCGAATTCAAAAAAAAAAAAACATTCAAGTACAACAAATCATCAGGACATCCACCTCCTTAACAAGTAAATTAAGGAGGCCATTCACCAGAAAAAAATCAAACAATACCAAGACCATGCCCTCTCCAGAACACGACGACGTTCATGTATCATCCACATAGGTCTGGAAAAATAACTGCAGAAGTGGATTAGGTTGCAACCAAACAACCCTGGCAACAGACACATGCAACTACAATTCCAAGCAGAGCTCCAGCAAGGACCTGGGATGGAGTGTGGCCAAGAAGTTCTTTGAGTTTTCTTTGACTGATAGGATGCCCTTGAAACAAATCCTCAACTATCATATTGAGAACCTGAGTTGATCAACACAAAGCAATCAGTAAAATTTCGCAAGACAGTAGTACCCACAAAAATCAACAAAGTAAACAAAACGGTTCACCATGCATACTTTCACATAGTGGTTAAAATAGGAACTGATAACAGGGAACCCAAGCAAGAGAACTTCAAAGTAACACATCAGCATGGGGTCACAGAAAAAACTGGTTTAAAAGACCCAACATATGAAGCAGAAGTGTTGTAAACTTCAGCTGCATGGGCCATACGCCTTGAAATATGTTGCATCAGGCAGGTAAGGCATCCATTGGTACGCTACCCCCATTTGTTTTTTCTCTCCAAAACTTACCTTCACCAAACAAATTCCCATCAGCTTCAAATTTGCTCCCAATTTTAGTAGTTGAAAGTTGAAACTCTTTTTGTTCACCTACAAAAATAATTCTAGAACTATCCAGCCAAATACTTGAGATCGCAAGCAAGAGAAGTTCCAGGTAACCACATGAGATTGCAGGAAGGACTGGTTTACAAGACCAAGAGAGGAAACAATTGTGTACACTTGAGCTGCATGGACCTTATGCCCTGAAATATGTTGCATCAGGCAAGTAAAGTATTCAATGTCCTACTAAATGTCTAAGGTATGTCAAGAGTATCACGGTGCATGCCAAAGTACCTTAGGATACTGCCATATTCATTTATTTTTCCCTTAAATCTTTGCCTTCGCCTAATAAATGTCCATCAATTTCAAATTTTCTCCTCTTTGGCAGTTGAAAGTTGAAACTCTTTTTGCATGGCCTTGAGAAACACCACTCATGCAAACACCTGAACTTTCAACGGAGCCTTAGGTTTCCAAATAAATTAGTGTTAGCATTCACAAAGTATGCTGACATAAATAGTCTGGAAATGAGTTACAGCTCTTCCAGTTAAACCTCACAGTGTCCCCGTGTTCAGAGCTATTACCTTTCTTAAGCAAAGTTGTCCAATCAAAATCTTCTAAATTGCTCCTAAAACTTGAAATCTACGGAAGCACAATCACTATTAAACGCTAGTAAGATAGTGCTTTTTATAACCTACGATGCACAGTCTGTAAATGTTAATCTTTGCCATCAAAGTTCTAAATGTTACATATCAACTTTTCCAAAAATCAACCACTAAGACATGTATCAAACATTATGAAACGTTAAGACCAGTAAGTTTCATATTTGTCTAGAACAAAAATGAAACATAGAGACTTGGAAGTTTTCATATTGAATATCATGTTGTACAATAGAAAACTCGATTCTAAAGGCATTGTTTTAACAATTATGTTCCACTAATTAACTAAAACTCTGGAATCACATTCAAAATTAGTTTATTTCATCCTAATCAAATCCTTGAAATGATCGTGGCCACCAAACCATACTCCACACGTACATAAAACATTAAGTGCTCATATAAATTATGCAGACACTATCCTAACTTCAATATCAACTGAAAAAACACACACCACCTCCAAAACCCTCTACCCTCCATCTTCCAGTACAAACAGAGAAAAAATCTGATCTATTGTACGCTCTGATGGTCATCTAGTGTTCATATTTTTACCTCCTAACGTTACAAGACCCAACTCAAAAAAACAACTTCTCTAAACAAAAAAATGATAGGAACTGACCAAAGAAATCAAATGTCAAGCCATCTAATCACCAAAAATGGTTGGAATTCCGAAGATATAAGTACCCAACAGAGTGACAAGCAAAGAAGAGTATAAATTCATTGATCTCTTGCCCTGAATCTCAAATATATTGTCTGTCAACTGTCCATGGTCTAACATTCCTTATCAACCATAGGATTTCCACTAGACTTCAATAGGCAATCAAGCTCAAAAGTCCAACTGACCAACCAAAACAACAATCTTGGAGGTCTTCAAGGTGAAGCCAAGCTCATCATTCCACTAAAATAAGTTGTTAACCACAACATCAGTAATTTCTGCACGATAAAAAATGCATTCTTGTTAAGCATGAATCCTATAATAAATTCTGCCCATCAACAGTAATTCTTCCACCCCTCCAGAGGTGTGTGTTCCAGTGTTTGTGCATTTGCGAATATACAAATTATATATAATTATTTGAAAGCAATACTAATCCCTAAAACTAAACAGTTGCAGTAGTATAAAATTATCCTCTAACAAACGCCATCAACCATTGTAAAGTGATAAGTGTGTCTGTACAGGTGACAATACAAACATATAGACTCCAGGTAGATATTTATCTGATATTACAACTAGCAATTTGAATTGTACATTTATAAAAGCACAATAATGTTTGAAATTAATCCAATCTTCATTCAATTTCACTTATCGGTACAAAATTTATTCCAAAAAAAAAGAATCCCCAAAAATCTTATTTTTTCTCAGCCTATTATAATTTTAAATTATGTAATTAAAGAAAAAAGGAAAATAAAGTGATATTTCAAACAAAAATGTTGCACCACTAATGTTTGATTTTTGATATTGTAGAGTGTTTTCAAGGACAGTGTTATTGCTAGTACAAACATATAGACTTTTAGCTAATCGAAAAACACTACCTCTTTAACAAATGAAAAAACAAGGCTACATAAAAACAAACAATTACCTCAGCTTGCATACCAGCATGCCTTCGAACCCCTATAGCATCGTACATTACAATCAAGCTAAACCCCAAACACACAGGAAATAACGAATCCGCCACTCCATGACATATAGCCACTGAAGTAGTCAGAGCAGTACATAAGGCCGAATGCGATGAAGGCATTCCTCCACAAGCAAACATAATCCTCAAGTCCCATTTTCGCTCCACAAAAAAATTCAAGAACACCTTCATCGATTGCGCTACAATCCAAGCAAACAAACCCGAAACAAACGTCGGGTTTGCGGCCAATGTAGCCACAAATGGGCTAATTCGGACCTTAGCCGTCGATGTTACACTCAAAAGTGCCATTCCAAAACCTCCATTTTGTAAATAATTACCTTGAAATTCCTCCGGTATTGCATGCGAACCAATATAACTTCGAAAAACAGAGACCCATTTGTATTTTGAAGTCCTCAGAGCTAAATCTTTGAAGTTCTGTGAAATTGAAACTAAGACCGAAAAGGGTTTGATGGGTAAGCTGTATTTTCCCCATTCTGAATTGGGTTTTTGGGGATTTGAATAAGGAGTATACGCAACAGAGATTGAAGAGATTTTGAGTTTTTTGGAATATCTGAATTTAAAAAAGGAGAAAGTATGGTTATTCAAGTATTTGATGCCAGGGTTACAGAGGTTAAATTTGAAAGCTCTGTATGATGGATTTATAACAACAGAGTCCATGAAAAAGCAGCTCGGAGTTTGAGCTCAGACTGCATCAAAACATAGGAAGAAGACAGAGAGAGCGACAAGTTAGGGAGGCTTTGAAGCTTTTTGCTTTTTTTAGGAGAACTCTAGATTGGTGTGTGCGCCCAGTTTATACAGGAGATGACATTTATCAGCAAATTATATCGAAGATGCCATTTTGACACTTCACTGCAAAAGGAATATCCTTTAAAGCTCCGTACTCCTGCCTCGTATTATTCTCCTACAGCAATTTCAACCGCCTCGATAAAATAGTTTCTTAAAATATATTTAAATATTATATTATTTATTTTAATTAATTATTTTTTTAAATTCACTTCAATTATAATTTTTATTTTAACTAATTTTAACAAAATTTCAATACTATAATTAAAAAATACCATGTAACCTAACACATAAGCGCTATAATGACGACAAAGCATGATGACATGTCGTATTACGTCATCAAATTTTCAAATTTTAAGTTTTACAATGATCATATTTATAATTATTATATTTTTAAAAATATATAAACAGAACCTTCATTTTCTCATTGTAATATATCTCAAATTTATTTTATTGGCATTGCATTCATGCATTATTTATTTGCTATGGCTCGTGATAGTAAATTGAAGATGATTTTGACTCTGATGATGAGTTGGAGATGTTATCGGTTGCTACTATGGAAATGGAGAAACTCGATACCGAGAATAGCTTCGCAATACGTCATGATTATATTTAAGGTCTTTCTGTTATTTTTCGCAATCGAGTTGAAGGGTATAAGAGACTTCGCAATTATTGTGTTAAATCGCCTACCTATCCCCAAATTTATTTTGAAGGAGATTTCCAATGAATTGATTTTTTTTCGTTCGTATTCTATCCATGGGTGGAAGCTTATGATCCATATTTTGTCCCAAGAATAGATTCTCTTGGAAATATTGGTTTGTCTCCCCTTCAAAAGATGATTGTCACTCTAAGAATACTTGTTTTTGGAGTTGCAGCAGATGTTTTTGATAATTATATGAAAATCAGTGAAAGTGCCACAATAGAGAGTCTACAAAAAATTTGTATTGGTTATAGTAGCAATTTATTTTTATGAGTACCTTAGGTCACCAAACAACAGATACATTGTTAGATTATTGGCAATCATTGAGAGATATGGGTTTCCTGGGATGCTAGGTAGCAATGACTGTATGCATTAGAGATGAAAGAATTGTCCAACAACGTGAAAAAGTATGTATTTTAGTCACATCCATGACCCAATAATTATTTTAGATGCAGTGGCTTCATACGATTTATGAATTTTATGAGATTTCATAATTCATATAAATATAAATAATATTAATTTGATAGTATTTTTTTAAAATAATGAGAGAAATTTTGAATCGTTATTCAAGGAACACAGTCACGTAAGTTTGGGATACAGGCTTATTGACTTTTTAGTCAAATTTAATTTTTTGAGATGTTTAAGGTTGATAAGGGTAATTAAGTAAATATATTAATTTTTTTTTTTAAATGTCAAAGTTGTGGTTGATGTTGGGAATGGAAGGTGATCATGAAATTATGGTTTGAAACTTATATGTTCATTACCGATAGGCAGAGGGTTAGTAGATGGTTGGGCCCCTTGAGGGGGGTTACCAAGGCGACTACTAGTCCTAGGGGAGAGCGGTGATGATAGTAGTTTTCGGTGACAATCTGTGTGATATCACAAGTTGTGTCCTACACATATCCCCTGAAAAAGCAAAACCGACGATAAAACCATGAGATGTAAAACCCAAAAGGTTCCGCAAAGATGGTTCATTCTTGAATCGGTGCTTGTTTGATTATATCTGTCCGTATGGGTAACATACATGAATTTTGGGTGCCAAAAAATCAATAGACCAATATTTCAACAAACTTCTTAAGTGGGTTGAGGTGAGGTTGAGACGAAAGTACGTGGAGTTAATATTTTTGAAAAATACTCTAGAAAAAACAAGTTTATGAAATTGTGTTCAAAATAAGAAATGATTATTTTACTAGATTTGTTATACATATACTTGTATAAAGATTTCTCAGTTTTGTAACGCTCCAATTTTTCTCTTCTTTTCGGGGACGTTAATTGATATAAAAAGACCCAAATAAAAATAACAGAGCGCTAATTGTCCCAATAAAATTTCATTTATCAAAATCATCTTCCAATACAAATAAATCTGTCACTATAAATAAATATCCCAATACAAATAAACATCAATTACGTTATCTCCTCGTCTTTAATACTCTGATTATCTCACTCTAATTTTTTCTCTAAAATCAACCTGAAAATATTAAATAAAGCAGGAAAATATATAATATGACGAGGAAAAATATGCTCAAGAACATTGAATAACAAATAATCGAGTATCACAAAATATTTCATTCAACAGATGCAAATATCAAATTTGCATATCATACGTCATGCAGAATCTTAACACAGATTTAACACCTCACTAATCATTCCACCTCAACCCGATCACAAAAGTCCCTTAGTTGGCAATGCATCGGTTATTGGCTGCCACGATCTCGTCTCAATATCCACAGAACATGAACAATGATATCAAAAACACGATCAATGAGATCAAAATATCCAACGATATTCAATCGAAATTCTAAAATAACGATAGCACAAGTTGGAATACAAATCAGATGATAAATTAAGAAATACTCTTTGCAAAAAGATTTAAAGAAAGCATATTGCATACTACCCTGTACCCCAGAATCATTATGTGAATTCGATAACTCTGATTTTTGTTTTATTTTTCTTCCTCTCGGTTTGAACTAAAAACACCCACCAAGATTTGTTTTCTCGCTCCCTTTCTTCCACCTTTGCTCTCGGCTTAACACACACAAACACATATATATTTTTTTCCCTTTCTTTTATTCTCATTCACTCACAGTTTCAACAAAATTAATACACACACACACATTTTTCTACAACGTATTCAATGTTAACTACCATTCATTTACTCCATGAATTTTTTTATTCTTTCACTCTCTTTCTTTTTCTTTACCTTGTCATGTCTCTTTTTTTTCCAAAGTCTTCACGTGGGTGAAGACCAAAAATCATAAAAATTGAAATATTTATATTTTATTCCCCTTTGTTTCACTTATTATATATATCAATCACAAAACTTAAATATTCCTTATTCTTTTACATCAAAATTCATAATATTTTATACTTAACTACCTCTAAAAATTTAGAATCTCACGAGTTTGTACTTTATAAAATCAATAGTTTTGCATTATATTTTAAGAAGAGAGGTTTTATAGTGTTATTTTGAGATTTGATTTCAATGTGATAAATTATTTGATGTTTCACTTATGTATTTCAAATGATAGTACGTAGTATACTTTAAAAAATACTTACTACTTATCGTGTACCTAGACTTATTGATAAATTATTTCTTTGTCTATCAATATGATTGTGAACTATTGATATTTAAAATCTTATATATGCTTGAGAAAAAAATTATCCTATTAAGCGTGTGGTAGCTCACCCCTATCATTTAACATTTTTAGTTATGGCATATGTTGGTGGACTACATACTGGGAGAATCGAGACAGAAGATATTTGTTATGATTTAGTTAGAGTATGTAAAGAACAATGTATGATGATGTATATTTTTGAGGATTTGTAAATGATTTATATATTGGTTAATTTGAGGGAATATGTATAGAATGAGAATTTTTAAATGATGTACTTATAAAGATTTTAAAGATTTTTGTATATTATGTTTATGATGAATAATTTTGGATAATTAGATTGTAACCTAGGTTTGGGAGGACTTCGTGGACCTCCATTTTTTGCCTCGATTTTAAACAATAATGATTTATTTGCGGATGTCATGAGAAGGGATGTATATGTTTGATATGATGTGAATGACTAGTTAGGTATAATTATTATGCTCAATGCTCTCACGGGTAACTCTTACTAATTATCTGGATGCCCGATTTTCAAAGAAAATTCAACCAAAATTTTCTAAAAAATAATTTATTTAAATTAAAGAGATACTTTTCTAGATGTTTTTACAACAAATTGACATGTTTTTTTTAAGAATAAACAAAGTATTTGTTTTAATCACATTTTTATGAAATTTGGGGCGTGACAGATTTGACATGTCTTTTTTGGGTTTTCTGGATCCTACAATGATATAAATGTGTTAGAACGCTCTTATATTTTTACTCTTCTTTCGGAAGGTAGGGCTCTTCCGATCAATTACTCCGTCAATGAAAACGATTATTCTATAAGATATTATCTTACTGATGGTATATGTACAAAGTGGGTCACATTTGTCAAAACAATTCCATCTCTAAGAGGTAATAAGCAAATACATTTAGCACAAGTTCAAGTGTCAGCCATATAAGATGTTGAGAGAGCTTTTGGAGTGCTCCAAGCACAATTTGCTATAGTTCGTGGACTAACACGTTTCTGAAAACTTGAAGCACTTAAAAATATTATGAAGGTATGAATAATATTGCATAACATGATTATCGAAAATGAGAGAGACAGTAATGAAATGGACTTTAGTTATAATGCATCGGATGAAATTCCTAATTCTACATTAATATACGAACGGAGTTTAAAACTACTCTAATTTATTCATACTCAACATCACATTAGAGATAGAGACACTCATTCAAGACTCCAAACTGATCTAGTCGAACACCTGTGGATTATGCATGGAATGCTTTAGACACTAATATGCTGCCAATTTTCTATGAATATTTATGCATGCATAATGTTACACTACTTGTTTGTTGTATTACTACTCAAAAGTTGTTTATGAATAAGAAAGAACAATATTTTCTTTTCCATGATTTCCATTTGACGACACTTAAAATATTCAGCTTGAACGAAGGCAAGACACTCGTGCCCATCAACATTATTCTCTCTTCCTCCTTCAATTGCTTGATTTGTATCTTTTTTTATCATGAGCTAGTTTCTCTTGTTTAATAGTTAACCGCTCTTTATCATGAGCTATCTTTTTCTTGAAGATATGATCTTTCCATAAATTCAACTTTCTTCTCCGTCAACATCTTTTTCTCCTCTTTCAATTCTTCAAATAGTTCACATAGGGGGGGTGCAATTTGAGCAGGTTGAGAGGTCAACTTTATCTCAACC